CGTTGCAAAAGAGTACCGCAGCGAAACGAATTCACGGCGCAATTCTTGTTTTTCTAGGGCCGATCCTGAAATGGGGCACAAAGTTGTAAGGCACCCTTTCGTCATGCTGCACCTTGAGCTCAGCCCCGAAATCGACTTTCATAATTGACCGAGATTTTCTTCCATGTTTTTTTTTTTTTTTTTTCCCTAAGTGATCTTTGTAAAAGTGACATGCGTGACGGTGAGAATGTTCGACGCTCAATGAACGTGAACGAACGATGTAGAGTCGTCCTACGGGGTAAATTAACCAATGTTTCATAGATTTGTTGCTTTTTACTTATCATTTTTAATTTTATCATACATTCCTAATTATGTCCCATACTTTTGTTGGTACTTAATATGCTTTGTTGCTGCTTGCTACAAAAACTATGTTGGAGGGTAAACTTTTTCAGTCCACTTTTATCTTTCTTAATACAGTATGTTGCTTTTTATCATTTTGAAAATATGGCATATTTAAATTCTATTGAGCTTTGCATCGCTGTGTATAGATTTTAAAATAAAGTTGTTTATCATTTGTCAATATGTTTTCGATTGTTAAAATGACTGACAAGCTCTTGGCGTCGCGCTGACTTAGTTTTACTGTCATCGTCCGTGCTTCAAGTATATTCCGTATAATTATTAATTACTTCACTTAAAGTAATGAGCTAAGTTTGGTGTGGTCTAAATTTATTGAATAAACATTAAAGTGTCTAATGCAAAGTTCGAAGAGAAGTTGAAGCAAATGCTCATAGAAAAATCTAAAGATGAGTGTAAAAAGACGACGAGGAAATGGAAACGGCAAGTCAGGACGAAACTGCGACATTCTGTGAATTTAAACAAAAACCTTCGATCGATCAATTCTTTTCAACGGTAAATATTATATCCTTACTGGACCACTATAACTTCGTTCCTACTACTACCTAACTTTGGAAGTACTGACCACTATAACGCTATGCTTCAATTTTCGCTTCTGCATTTTTCTACTTATTATCCATCGTTAATCCAATACCAACTATGACGGGAGTGCGTGACTTTTTCATACTTCTCCTGGCGAAGGTCTCTCAATGACATCAGCCGACAATTCTAAAAATATGAGAAACACGGCGTTGCTTATCGCTACCAACTTACCGGCATTTTAACGCTTCCATGGCTTAATGGCATAAATATGTAAAGAGATTTTTTCACGTCTACGAGGGAAACATCGCAAATCCGAGGTTAGTACAACCGTATGGGCTCCATAAAATACAAGGTTGGTTTTTCGCTTTTGCTGCAGTATACTCTGTACAAAGAGTGAGTTCGACGTACGATTAATACTACGTGAACTAACGGCAGAACATCCGCGATCGAACCATAAGCTGAATCATAAAAAGCTACATATATGTACCTATGTAAGAACTACACCAGACAGAGCACAAGAGATTGTAAGTGCCACGTTTCAGTTCGTACATACTTTTCATTACGGATATGCACATGCTTGTGCGTACTGGAATTAAAATTGTGATATCGCGTTGTTTCATAATGTCACATGCTCCAGATATATGTACGTTCAGTGACTCTCCTCGACTATGTCAAAGTTTGCAGCAAATGTGCAATACTTTAAGTGCACGATATGTAACGGGTCGCGATACCATGCTAGAAATATCGAACGATAAGGAGAATCGTGAATAAACAATGTTTTCTCAATTGCCGCCTTTTCTTTGTTACTGTATGTACATACTTACGTACTAAATTTTCCCTCACTTTTTTGCCCCAACTGTTACATCGTTAATAAAAATATTATAATTTCATAAGATTTTTATTAATATTAGTTGAATATTTCTCGGACTCAAAAATGCCACTGCAATAAACACATACAAACGATCATAAAATTAAAAAAAAAAAAGACATAAAAAAGTTATAAACAATATGTACCGATTTTGGAATTCACATCACCTTAATAAGATCGTATTTCTAATCTGTGAATAATATCATATATTTTCCGGGAAAAAAGACAAGAATGTTTTCAGAATTGAGCTAATATATTGCTTCACCGAACGACATAATTGTTTAATTTTTTTTCACGTGGTCTGATATGAATTATATCGTAGCATACGTGCGCAGCATCAAGTACTCAAGAAAAAATACTTACGGTTAATTTCGAAGAGAGCAGAAAAGAGAAATAGAGCAAGAGAGTCAGGTTTATTGATACGGACCGTCATAAAATTTCGGCTGGGGGAATTACCGGTCAGGTAAATTTCACCGAATCTTTTCCACCTTCTCGATTGGTTCGTACGTCCAAAAAGATTTACCCTGAATTCTCTACTTCGCATTAAGTATTTTTATCAATGCGTCATCAAAATTGGTCGGCGTTACTCACGCTCATTCCGATAAGCTAACCTCGATTTACCTGGAAAAAATATAGTCGCGTTAACATCCGAGACGGGAACTTCACCTTGCCATCTTAACAGGGAAGTTTCATATTCGATCTCGCTTCTTACAATTACTCCGTCACGAGGATAGAGTTCGAAGGTTCTAAGTAAGAAAATTAGAGAAGGTAACTGAAACACCCAGTAAGTTACCGAGAATATCGAGAATTTATGAGAACGTTAATTCTTGTATTTATACTTTAGGCTTCATCATTTAATTAACATTTCTTTTCGATGCACTTCGGAGTTCAAGTTAGGCATGTATATTACTAAAAACTATTGAATATAGTTTTATTTACCGCCAGTTAAAAGCATTCGTGCAAAACTTTACATGGAATTCCATGTAAATTTTTGGAAGGAATTCCAAATAAAACTTTATATCCGTCGTTTCAAGAATAAGGTCGACATTTTATTAATCCAACGACGTCGTTCGACGAAGCGAACGAGAGGTCGCAAATATTTAAGTTCTCATAATTTCTCGGGGAAAAAAAAACTTTCAAGAAATTACCGATAAGTTACCAGGAATTTCTCATCGTTCCTGACGTAACTTGTCGAGGTTAGAACTTTATGCGAGGATATCGTCGGCCATTATGCTCGGTACTCTGCATTCTTTTATTCGGTCTTTGTGTCTCTCAGTTCACGGAAGGAAAATTATCGAAAAGGGACGAGCGATCATAGCTTTCCCAGCTCCAATTACGACTCGTCCTAACCTCGTTCCACTTGGAAAATATAGTGGCATAATAGCCAAGATGCTATCTCGTTTCGTTGTCGTAGCGGAGCGTGGCTTTTTGTTCGGTCTCGCCTCCGACAATTACTCGGTCACGTTTCTCCCCTTTCGAGGTCCGCCATGGGAGCTTCGGTGCAGCTGTCCAATCCCCGAACGTCAGAAACAACCAATGAAACTCCCGATCCTAGAGGGTAGTCAAACAAAAGAATCTCATGGACTTCGCGCGGCACCATCGAGAATGAAATCAAATCGAAACGAAGAGCGACTTTCCCGAAAGTTGAACGTGTGAAGTAGTACAGGCGTCGATTCGTAACGAATCCACGAATAAAGATCGCGTAAATAAAGACTGACAGTACTAAAGGAAAAAAAAAAAAATACTCCCAGAGGGTAGTCAAACAATAGATTCTTATGGACTTCGTGCGGCACCATCGAGAATGAAATCAAATCGAAATGAAGAGCGACTTTCCCGAAAGTTGAACGCGAGAAGTAATGCAGGCGTCGATTCGTAATGAATCTACGAATGAACAATATGCGAATGAAGATCGCGTAAATAAACTGTCAGTACTAAACTGTTCTTTCCCTTAAGAGGAAGGAGACACGTGGACGAAGTTGATCAACGTCGGTAAACAAGACTTTTCTAAATACCTACCTCGTCGACGTTCGTTATTATATTGGGTATTGTACTATAATCAAATTTCGAACAATAATCTGAGCTAAGTTGAAAAATGTTTTAGTAAAATTTCAAATTTTGAAAGTGTCAGGATAATCCCTAGGTGCTCGCGAGTCATGTGTCAATGTTTCAGATGGTTCGATCCCACGCCCTTAAAAAAAAGTGTCTTATTCGAATCGACTGACTTGAGAGGGGTTTCACTTCACCTTAAGGGGATGTGAAAGCGGCATCCGAGGGGTCGATCGTTCATGAAACATTTTCTCTGAACTAGACTGTACTGAATCGTTTCAAATTTACCTACGTTAATATGGAGTCTATAAAGAAGGTCCTGGCCCTCGTGAAATTTCATTTTTTTGTACAAAATTTGCAAAATACCTATAAACAAATTGTTTAAAAATTGAAATTTCATGACTATCAGGGTCTTCCTTATGGTCTCCATATTCACGTTGTAAAGTTTAAAACGATTGGATAAACCCAATTCCGAAAAAAATTTCATAAACGAAACCTCTTCGAGGCCACTTTCACATCCTGATTTCCGATTTGCGAAACGTAATACCGCGCAAGATGTAACCGATTCCCTAATCTCGAAGGTTTCGCCTTATTTTCAACATAGTTTCATCTTTCCTCAGCTTGGAACGTAAAGCAGCCGTTTGTTTCGTCGTTGAGGCAGCACAGTTTACCGTTCTAACCTCGTTCCTGCCATGAAACGAGTTCTTTCCAACTCCAACAGGACGAACTCGAAACGTATTTCGGTTGACTGTGGGATATTCCACATTTTCACCGCATCGTATATCGGACGATCGGAGGCAACTCGGAACGTCGTCCGAATTTCTCCATAGCTGTCTGAAAGTGACTCATAAAGCAACATAGGAAACGACTCGCGAGTCGTTCCGCGTCTTAATTTCCGTCGACTGGGTCCGGAGCATAAAAAGTCGAGGCGAGCCGACGCGTCGATGGCCGCCATCGCGACACGAGTCGGTCGGCGTCGGTCGCTGCCGCGCGGTGTTGCCGCGCGTCGTAGCCGCGCGTCGGTCGACCCGCATTCGGCGGCGGCGTGGCCGACGCGCAGCCGGCAGCGCGCAGCTGGCTCGCCACCCGACTCCGTCTCGGCGTCCGATTGGTCGCTCCCCTCCCCTGCGGCGCGGTCTCGCTCGAACAAAGAGACGATCCTACTTGGTCGGAAGCGAGGCCGGGTGCCGTTTAGAAAGTCATCGGTAGTGGCAGGGTGCGGTCTGCGGACCTTGCGGGCGCGAAGAACAAGCGTGAAAGCGGCGGATCACCTCGGTGGCCAGAGTCGGCTATACCAGGATCGAGGAGAAGCAAGGTGCCACCGGGTGTGCGAGGGACGCAGAACCGAGAAGGCGGAGAGAGAGAGAGAGTAGCGCCTGGTGGGTCCGCGACGGTGGCAGAAGTCGGTCGATTCGTCCTCACTTCCTCGGAGATCGCGAGAGATCGCGAGAGCGTCGCGCTTCCGGTCCCCCGCGAGAAGCTGCCGAGACGGGCGGAGGTCGAGTCGCCTCCGCGCTGGAGCGGAAAGGACGTTCCGAACGGTGCGGGACGCGGCGGCGCCGCCATCTTGTCGTGGGCCATCGAGGCTCGAGGAGACGCTCGGGTTGGGCCTGGAGCGATCGCGCGTCCGCGACGCGGGGCAAGTCGAGAAACTCGTAGAGCCGGCCACGCCGGCGCCGTCGTCGCCATGAGGCTGGAGATCGTGTCCGCGGCGGACTTCCTGGTGCACCTGCTCCGGCTGCAGGCCGGCCAACTCTCGGACCGCCAGCTGGAGATGTTCAAGTCGTCGCTGACGGAGGTGCTGCGCCACCGGTACCGGGACCACTGGTTCCCGGACAGGCCCAACCGGGGCTCCGGGTACCGGTGCATCCGCATAAACGGCAAGATGGACCCGGTGATCGCCCAGGCGGGCGCCAACGTGGGCCTGCTGCCCACGGTCCTCCACTCGCTCTTCCCCAGCGAGCTCACCATGTGGATCGATCCCGCGGAGGTCTCCTACAGGATCGGCGAGAACGGCTCCATCTGCGTCCTCTACGAGCGCATCGGGCCCGAGCCGGAGGAGCCCCCCGTGCCGCCCCAGCAGCAGCAGCAGTACGAGAGCTGCAAGGACTCCCTCATCCTCGAGCACGCGCAGTTCAGCGAGCAGATCGCCGCCTTCGTGTCCAGCTGAATATCCCTCGCCGTGACCTAACCTACGAGAGAAGGAGAGAGACCTCGCCCCGACTCCGTCGACGTGACCTACCTTCGCGACCGCGACCCGAAGCGGCCGCCTGCCTCGGCGTGGCGCCATCCAGCGCCATCCAGCGCCATCCAGCGCCACCGACGCCACCGACGGCAGAGACGCGCTCCCATTGGCCGAGTCAAGGCGCGTCCACCGACGCGGACCGACTTCGGATCCAGGCCTGGCCCCATTGATCTCAAACCCCCGTCGACGTCGCCAGCGGAAACCGGAAACATCGGAGCTCCTCGCGCCAGCGAATCCAGCCTGAAGGACCCTCGCCCTTTCTTTCCCCTCCCCCCTTTGTGATGGACTCGGAGATGAGACGACCTCGTCGATGGATGCGTTTTACACACGGAGCGATTACTTTGCGCGAGACGAATGTACGGGTAGTACATGGTAAAATATGGTAGGGTTCAATTTACATAAACGGTGATCTTGAAACGCGTAGAAGATAGATATGTGCGATTCGCGTCGCTGGATTCGAGTCACCCTAGGATCTTTATTTTTTTTCTTTCTTTAACTCTTAAGGTAACCTCGCGTAATTGGCAAAGTACGTTTGTCGAGCTTTGAAAATTGTGTATAATTTGGTTACGAGATCTCGTAGCGCTGTAAAATCTGTAAATATCCATGATTTTGAGTTCGTTCGTAGCTGTCCGAATATATAAAGACTATTGTTTGTGTGATTTAATGCTCGGTTGCTTTGCGAATGATGCTCGTCGTCGATCGTAAGGCAATGAGCCTAGAGCAAATGCTTCCGGTAGCATCGAACTCGATATCAAGGTATTCTCTGTCGATATTCTTGATCTCTGGCATACCTTGGATTACAAAGGATACGTCTCCGATTAATTTTTTTTGTTCAATTGGCATTTGTTGAAACGCATCGGCCATGATTATTGGCCAGGGCCAAAATTGTACGCACCGATAACTTATGGTTCCATTCTGATTATGTTGGCTACCGATTGCTTACAATGAATTACGATTAATGGGAAAAATGGAATGTCGAGTACTTCGTTGTCTCATGCTTTTGGAACGGAACGTTTGTCGTAGACTCCGTTCGACGTCGTTGCGTGTCGCTCCGTGTGCCGAATACGTGGAAAACGTTTTCACCATAGAATATACGATCTCTCGCAGAGGTTCCAGGATGTTTTCGGATCTCTGTACCCTCTGTGACGAGAAGACGCGAAAGCGATGGCGACACGACGCCGAGAGAGCGACTTCTCCGCTTTCTCTTTGCCGATTGGTCTTTGCTCTTTTTTTCTTTTTTTCGTTCCTCTCTCTCCACTTTATTTTATTTCTATCTCGTGTGTAAAGCTGGGAGTGGTCCAACTTTGCAGGCAATTTTTCCCTACGTTGGGTGACGCGTTTAACGACACTTTCGGATAATTTCAGACGGTCTTCGGTTCGGTGCCGTGAACCAGCAAAAATGTACAATTTCGGTCGAGGCTAGAAATTAATGTGGAAAATGAAATGTCGTTACTTGAAATTGGCCACTTTCGTCGTTTAGTGGGCGATGTGCAAAAAATGTAGGTCGAACAACAAGAGAAATTACCCAAAACCTGGCGCTTACGCGCGGAGAAAGTATCTCGGAGAAACGAAACGCACAAACCAACCGCGTAACCCTTTTCGATGAAGTGGAACGCACCGTGAATATTTTTTTTTTCTTTCTTTTAAATACCTATCGCGAACCTGGCACATCACGAGTCTTACGAATACGCGTTAACGCTTAAAAAGTAATGAAACGTTTTACGACACTATTGGACAAGCGTAACCAATTACGATTAAAAAAAAGAACTTCTTTCGCGATCGGTTCCAAGCTTCGTCCGTCTTTGCGTGCTTTCTCCGTTGGTAACACTTTCGGAAATCCCAGTAATTCCGTCTGAGGGTAATTGCCGTATCTTAAGCGTTGGACATTATAACGAAGTCTAGTTTGGCTTAAAATTATTGGATGTACAGAGGATTCGCCAAATTTTAACTTCCCAAAGGTATATAGGCGGTTCGGTTCGTTCCTCGCGGAACGATGAATGGACGGGGCGATATAAATTTCTCAAGGATGCAAAAAAGGAGGGAAAAGGAAAAGAAAAAAGAGGCGGATAATGTACGTTTGATCTTCGGTTATTTACGCACTCTGCCGTGCGTGGAATCAGGCCACGGCAGTTTGCACAGTCGTCACTCAGCCTTGACCAAAGGTGTGTGTTTCTCTTCGGACTTCTCGGAAATTGATTTCGCGAATCCCTCATTGATCCAAGTCGCCCTCGTTTTCGCGTTCTCGTCGTCGCCGTGCCGCTATTACTTAGGCGATTCTACTGTGTCACATGCGTGCGTTCATGTGGGTTGTGTGTAGGTATATACATGTATATGTGCACGCGCGCGCATCGTGTCGTATGCGTACAAAACTGTCGACGCTTTTCAACGTGTACCTTGCCGGCGACGTTTCGCCGAATTTAACGAGCTGAAAATTCGGAAAATTCCCGAGTTCCAAAAATATTACAATCCTGTCCGTCGCCACGCATCGCGTTACGCACACTGAGGAAACGGTTTACTTTATCCAAACACAGAGGCATGTTTAAAATGATTTTGTCGAAGCGGAGTAATTATTTCCATCAATCGACAAAACGTTTATTTGATTTTAGTAAAATGCATTGTTTGACGAAATTGTCTTAATTTACAGGAACAATTTCTTTAAAATATTCGATCAATTTGTTTGTGCCTTGGATTTAAACTTTAGAAATTATTTATTCGATTCCAACATTTAGAGGTTCCGCAAGGTCCTTCGGGGTGAACGGTATTATGGGTAATACTTTAATGGGGTAAAGTAATTAGAGTCAGAGGTGTGAGTCGTAACATTACATGAAAAGGGAGTAAAAAAGTTATAATGACACGTTTATTGAATTCAAATCCAACAAGTATGGTCAATCGTCAAATATATTTGAATCTAGTATACTTATTAGACTGTACAACAAAGAAAGAAAAATAAGTTTCATTCAAATTTGTTTTGCGATCGAACAAATCGTTTTCACAGTGTACAAGCATATGTTGCACCTTTCGAAGAGTCGCGAGGAAAACGCGTCCGTAAAAGTGGCAGTATTTTTGGGAAAAAAAGTGGATTTTGCGCATACTGATAGTCTTACGTAAACTTTCCGGTACAATTAGTGCGTTTTTGTAAAGATACGGTACACGTCGCAGGCAGTGTACGGGGGAAATTGTTGACGGTACGTCAGATTGTACACGCGGATAGACGAGAAAAGTCAGCCGACGCGTGCGCGCGCATACTCGAAATATTGTACATTATGTTTTGAAAAATCTGTGATTCTCTTCGGGAATAAGGCGAAGAAGAGGAGGACGAGCTGCAGTTGCGGGATCGGTACGGAGACTAACTGGGATTAATCGGCGTAGGGAGAAAGTGTCGTTCGTAGGACGAATCTAATTTCGGGACCCGTTGGGAAGAATTCGTCTCGAAGTCTCCTCGTTTGACCCTCCCCGTATGGAAATAAATATATTTTTGTATATAAAAAATATATATATACGGAAATACATATCCTTTGGCCGTGAAATATATCCGGGAATATATATTGCCGAGTAAATACAAAGTATATATACAAACATATATTTTCGGGGATGTAGTTACGGCCAAAAGTTACCTATTTCCGTATATATATTTTTTTGTCCTATACAAAAAATACATTTTCATATATATATTTATTCCCATGTGGGTCGGTGAAATGCCTCTCCTTGAATCGCGCGATCGATCGGACAAATTGTCGCGTAATGCCGGCAAGTATCCTCGGGCAATAAGGTCTCCGTGTTTTCGAGAAATAATTAACTCGCGAAGGTCCGCATAAAAACCTGCTAGAGTGTTCGCGCATTCTACGTCTCGACTTAGCGTGGTTTAGAGTGGCAGATAGTGACGCGGGAATGAATATTGAGCTACTCAAAACTCGCCTTATCCACTACGAGATGCGCGTTGATCATCGTAAACGCACCGTTGAAGTATTCTGTCCTCCTTTACAGCTGTTTTGATTGGAATTGTCACGAACTAGTGTTTCTCGAGCGACGAATTCAACCGTGTCCAATTTTAACCGCACATTCATTCCTGGCAATTTCTTTTAACGCATCGTGTATTCGGTACAGATATTTTCATTGTACGGTCTGTGTATATGTACAGGAGAATGATATATTAACGCTGACTGGAACGGTCAGTATAGAGATACGTCAAAGGGGATGCGGTTTATGAAAATAGTTGAATTTTCAAAAAGTTCAATGACAACTCTTAATAACGTAGCGCTATAATGGAAATCTTGAATCCGATGAGATGTTGCGCGAAACTAGGAACGGGACTTTGAAATGCCTTTTTTTAACAGAAAAACGTTGAATCTCTTTGGAACGTACGTGCACCTTAAATTTGAAATGCCAAGTATAGAGGGTCAAGTCCGAGGCAAGATACAGAAAATATTAATTAGAAGATATATTTGTAGTCCTTTTTTTTTTTTCCTCTCAATGCATGCGTTAGGTTATCTCGTGCGAAACGGCTTTCTCGATTTTGTTGCCACATAATTTGTGACGTCGGCAGAGTGTATCCGGATCGAAAGGAAGAGAAGTACCTGAAAAAAAGTGGAGCGTTTACCAACGTCCAAGATTTACTTCGCTGTAAGGCTCACATTCGCGAAGCTATGCCCCGGGAATATGAGCCTTATCGGACAGCGGGTAAAGCGGGTGCTTTAAGCGATTCATTTTTATTTTATCATTCGATTGCGGGAAATTAGAAGGAATGGAAAATAACGACGGCTCTGTACCTAGCGATTAGGAACCTTGTCTGTGATGATGACACGTATTAGGGTCTGGACTTTGGCGAATTTCGGGAGGAAACGAAAACGTTCGTTCGACTTTGCGAAACTACACCGAGAAACCCGCGACCTCGTTCCATCCCGATATAATTATATGCGTCAAGTAACGATGTTCGAATTAAAGTCATATATTTGTAATAGAAAATATTCGTTTGGCTTCTTTACACCAGGGTGCCGACCTTTTGATGCCGGTTCTTCTAATTCGAACTATCAGAAGTTTTCGGAGCTAAACTTGCCGCTTAATGGATCCCCTTGTCTTCGCGGCGGATTTATCATTTGTATAATACTCGAGGACGTGTACAAACGATGCGGCATACGTCAACGGAAACGGTTTATCTTACAGCGGTTCATTTCCTTGCTTGCGGAATTAACCGCGTCCATTAGTTGCATCGCAAAGCTGTAGGTTATGGTACTATTAAAAATTCATAATCCAGCCGGTCGATACTTCGAGACCTTTGAAGCCCGATTAAACGACACGTACGTGTCTACTTACGAGTCGGCACTTTTCATTGTTTCCTATCTCGCGATGCGACACATCTATCGCCGATAAGGTATCGACCCCGGATTTAAGAATTACCGCCGCACAAGGACTCCTTCCTTTTTAATGTTAATTTTCATCTCCTTTCGATTCAGGGTCTATCCCAAAACGTTCCTTTTACGTTTCCCTCGAATCCAACTACATGTCCAGGCCCTAATAATAAAAGTAAAGAGACAATATAAGCGATCTCCAATGTACAGGTATCTACGTATCGACCTAATATCTCGTTCGCGCGCATTATATACTTACGCAGTCCGTGTCGTATACGCGTTCGCGCGCGTACGTGCACATACATTCTCTGTATAAGTCGTGTACATCCTGTATATGAAAGAGAAAAATAGAAAGAGAGAGAGAGCCGCGTATTCTCCGTGTATTCTCTCTCGCACGTATGGCCTCTGGTACGAATTCCGCGTGGATAAAACCGCAATTCTCGAAGTGACGTTCGTCTTTACGCGCCATTTTTCTCTCTCCTGGTCGATTATTATCGACCTATCGAGATATCTATATATTCGGTTCTCCATAGGTTACGTTCCGGTCTATTCGAGGCGCAGTTCCTCGTTTATTTTTGCCCCTGGTGTCGAGCGACGGGAAGATCAAGGCGAGGAACGGCCGTTGGCTCCGCGTCGGAGGCTCATTGTCGCTCTTTCCTTGATCCCGACGTTGTCTCGGCTCGTCAACCGATCACGGGGTCGGAGGTTAAGTCCGACCGGCCTCGAGTCTCCTCTCCGTGGATGAGACGCGATTGCACCACCTCTGTTTAACATTGAGACTTTCACCCAAACGACCCCGGCTCTCGATTGGCCAATCTCGCCTTCGACTTCGGCCGCTCTTTCTCTTTCCATTGATAATTGCAATTATCGCTGGGCAATCCGAGGGGGTGCGCGCGCACGCGCTCGTCCGATGGTCACGTGGGTGCGCCGATAAATATACTCGCGCAGATTAACGTACTCGATAATTGGTTATTTCGATGCCACGGGAAATTGCAGTGACATTACAGTTGCCTATTGTCCCCGTAATATATCACATTCGACATCCGAGGTAAATTATGGAAAATGATTATCTAATATTGCAGTAAATTCAAGTAAAGATGCATCGATACGGTAAATATACAAGGTTTGGGGTACTTATGCATCTTCTAATTTGTCATTCTTTAATTTTACGATTTTCGCTTTATATTTTTTTTTTGTCTTTGTGGGATAACCAGTTATGGAGCGAGCAAAAATGTATGTGAATTTTTATCGATTTTCGTCAGGGTGGAGACGAGGGTCGATTTGCATTAAATTCAAGTAAAGATGCATCGATACGGTAAATATACAAGGTTTGGGGTACTTATACATCTTCTAATTTGTCACTCTTTCGTTTTACAATTTTCGCTTTATTTATTTTATTTTATTTTTTTTCTTTGTGGGGAAACTTCAGTTATGAAGCGAGCAAAAATGTATGTAAATTCTTATCGACTTTTGTCAGGGTGGAGACGAGGGTCGATTTTAGTTGATTTTCTTGCCTTCGGTTACCTTGTATCGAGACTTAGCGAGGACGATCCCGCGTTCGAGATGTTCGTACAAGAGTGGCGGCGCGAGCGAGAGAGACGATGCGCTTCCGCGGGGCACTTAATTGTCTCTTTTGCCGATCGAGAACGATCGCCGGGTTGGGGGAGTCGTAGAAACCGAAGAGAGAAAGAGAGAGAGGGGAAGAGCTGTGGTTTCTCGTTTTGCGTTACGTGGCGAGGCGAGACGCGCCATAGGAGAAATAGCGTTCGTTCTTTCAAGACTTTTGGGGTTAAAGGGGGCGCCTTACGACCGCGCATGCGCACAGCGGGACGAAAGATACTAACGGAATGGAAAGAAACGTAACCTGCGATTCCCATAGGGCATACATACACACACGCGCGTCACTTGTTCGCGTGTTAGGCGCACACGCGATGTAATTATATACGCGATGGTCCTTCAGGAAGAATTTGTACAAACAACCCGCTGGGATGGCACCAGCAAGTCTGTGATTTTAGCTTGGTTAATTCAGTATTTTTTTAAATAAACGAAAACAAAATCAAGATAAACGATAAAAAAAGGTGATTCGAAGGATGCGCGCGATGAGGGGGTTTTGCGTGCGGTGAGAAGGGGGGGGAGGGGTCAGTTTTTGGGGAATTGTAGAGAGGGGGGCGAATTTTTGGAAATATCGCGGCGAGGAGCCGCTCTTGGGGAGAGTTTTGGGTCCGGTTGATCCGCGGTGTGCTGTTAATTTCGGAGCTGGACAGAAACGTACGGTTTTGCCGACGACGATTGTAGTTGACCGAGAGTTACGAGGAGTCTGGGGGATTAACCGAAATTTCTCGTTCGAGGGACCCCTTGGTTTTATTTCACACCTTTAAGACGCTAATGAAAAAGGGCTTCGATACGGTCGTCCGGTTGTAAATTCATGTAAATGCATGTAAATAATATTCCTCGTCCGGCTTTGCGGATCGGATCGGTGGAAAGCGTTGGAAACGGATTTTCCATCCGTGCTCTCTCGCATAGAGGTCCAAGATTTTCGAGATTTAGAATCGTCGTTGCGGTTCCTTGTGACGCGAGTTTAACCCTAGAACGACCGGCAGATCTTTCCTTTGTATGGGATGAGCCGTTTGAAACAAGTCATCTTTCGAGCCGTCTTGGTAGTTCTAGGGTTAAATCAGAAAGCTTGTACCGAGGCCTCCAAGATTCATCGTCGGGTTCGCACTCGTCGAGGGTAATTGCTCTCGTTAACGTCACCTCGAGCGTGGTCGTCTTCTACGAGACGGTCGAGGGTAATGTTGGATTCGGCGAAACACGTGGTTTCTATCCAGCTCCTTTAGCTTTCGCGGCGAGGCGTTTGTAAAATTCCTGTACAGTTGCGTACGACCGTGCGAATAGATCTCTCTACCGCTCTTGAACATTGTACATAGTGTCATTACGCTCGTCCAATTGTAAAGCGCATCGATCGTACTACGGGTAGGGGAGAGAGGAGGCGTGGAGGACGGACGCGCGTGCGGCGTTTAATTGTAAAAAGGCATTACCGGGCGCGAGATTTGTCGCCGTTTCGATTTTAGACGATTCGTCGGACGTGGAGGGGATTAAGGTGGAGGGTGGTGGCTGTCAATTGCAATGCACGCTCGGTAACGAGCTTTAACGAGGACGGAGATATTGCCGGGGGTAACTCGATCGCTCGAAGCATCGCTCGGGCAATTGGCTCGTCGTTTTGCAGACGGTGGAGGTGGTAACGTTCGATAGGTCGTTATCTGATTACAGGGCGACGCGATCGGGCTACTTCCCTCGGTCGGGCTTGACGTCGCGTTGCACCGCGACATCGGATAAGGTGATAGGAAAGGATCGTTCCGTACCTATAAAATGTCAAAATATAATACCTTTGTCCAAACTGGATGCGCAGAATAATTTGAAACCTCACCACGTGATTATGGAGGTCCTAAGGGTGAATGCGATACTCGTGACATTTCATTTTTCCAAAAAAATACGTGTGGGATAAATGAAAGGATCGCGTTGGAGATATGAAGTTTCATTAGCATCACGTTCTTTCTTGGGGACTTCACGATCACGTGCTGAAGTTTCAAATGATCAGGTGTATTCAGTTTGGAGGAAAGTGTTATAAATGTTTTGATGTTACATATATGTGATATGAAAGTGTGATATATACGTACTAAAAAGTCTCAATATTTATAAAACTTTTCTTGAAATTGGGTGCACCAAATTATTTAAAACTCTAACACGTGATTACGGAGGCTCTAAGGAAGAACGCGCTGCCCGTGAAATTTCATTTTTCGAACAAAAAAAAATCTTTTTGGTTCTTGTCCCATGAGTACAAAGTTTTCTTCATAAGAAGAAATTTCATGAGCAGCGCGTTTTTTCTTAGAGCCTTCATATTCACCCGTTGAAGTTTCAGATAATTTGGTGTACTCAGTTTGGAGAAAAGGTTTCTAAATATTGTGACTTTTTGTTATCTATGTATGTCACATTTTCATATCACCTTAAGGGGTCGACGAGTATTCGCGAATTCGGTGAACTTGGCAGCGTGGACCAGAGGTTGGCCGGACGCTTCGCGATATATTTTTCTACGGACGTTGACGCTCCCGGGAAAATCCCCCGAAGTAGCGTCACGCGTTAATTGCCGCGTGTATTTTTCCCCGGTCGGGTCTCGTTGCACTCGTCGTTTGCAACGCAACTCCGGCCGACCTCCTCCGACGCTGCGAACTTCACTAAAGCCTAGGAACTTCATCGAGAATGGATCGGTGGCGACCGACTCGGGTTTAGCCTTCATTTCGTGGATTCGGAAACCCGACGCCTCGCGTCGTCTCTTCGGGGACGCTAGTCTGGTTCGATCGGTATTTTCCGGGACTCCTTTTGTTTTTTTTACCCAACGTCGCGCCCGTTTCTTTGAGTTCGTCGATTCGGAGATGGTTTCCAATCGCCTTCGCCTCTAACTTCTTTTTTTGTAACGAGTTCTGCCAACTCGGAGATTGTCGACGCCTCCGTCTCTCCTACCCATCCGAGGATCGGAAGTGCGAAGGTGCGGATCGGTTTGGAAAATTGTCGAGACGAGTCCTGCGTGGAGGAACAACTGTGGAAATCGAGGGACGCGAAGCGATTCGCTGCGTCGCGTCGTTGCGTCGTTGCGTCGTTGCGTCGCGTCGTTGCGTCGCGTCGTTGCGTCGCGTCGTTGCGTCGCGTCGTTGCGTCGCGTCGCTGCGTCGCGTTGGTGACGTCATTTCACGGATGCCTCAATAAAGCCGTTCTATGCGGCTACGACTAAGAACTCTTATTCGAGGCAAAAGTTTCTTTGCTGAAAAGTTGCGTGAAAAAAATCCATCGATAAAGCAAAGATAACGCTAAACAACGCGACCGAACGCTACGCGGAGAAGATACGATCGCTTCGGGTCCTCGATGACGGAGAAAAGGAACTCTCTTCGTGCGCACGTATTCGGAATGTAGGGCAGAGGGAAAAACGTCATAAAAGAGCGGCCGTAGTGTTCCAGTATAGAGAATTTTCTATCCAAACCGGAACGGCGGACATGTAGAGGTGGAGCGCGTAAAAGGGCGTTGAAGGAGGGACGTGTAATACCGTAAATCGAAGTAGGCTCTCTTCTCGAAGATGGGACGAAGTGCGTAGAGGGTAGGAAGAAAGAGAGAAGGGTCGTTCGATCCCGATTTCCTACGTGAAAGACGGTCAATGGATTCCTCGTATCGTGACGTGTTAACGGTTTACCTAGTCCTATGGAAAAATCTCGAGGAAAAGTATGTCGAAGGTCGAGACACACGGTACAGCCGACGTACACTTACACACGGATACACGAGTCGCATACGTACACGTTTACAATGTACAGTTAAGCAGTGCGCGTGCGAGCACGCGTCTCACCGATATATATATAAATATGTATACACGTTGGAAAGGGATGCCGCATATGAGGGACACAAACGCGTTCATACGTTCACGGATTAAATGTACGAGAAGTCGTCCCGTGTGTCGGTAACGATTTACGATACGGTAATGGATATTAACGCGTGTACGCGCACATCGCGAGAGACTGTACGAACTATCCAGAAGGTTCATACACCCGGAATCCCTAGACCTCGTAGGTTTACTATGATCATAGTAAAGATTACGGTACACGATAAGGAATGATAACTTTATGATTATATTATTATATATATATATCTAATGTATCGATGTATAATTATATTTAGTTCTTAGGTTATTACGACGTCTATCATTTCCCGCTTGTACATACGCCGTGAGCTCGAAAGAATTACTCCTGTAACGAAAGAAAAACTATAATTTTTTCGACTGTTTTTGTACAGAGATAATAAAAACAAAGGCCTCGTGCTTATGAAATTTCACGAATACAGAAGAAATGACGCGTCTTCTCAATTTCTTTTACACCTCGTGACCCACGCTCGAAGTGCAGTCTCTTGTATGCTTCTTGAACGAGCGAACTAGGTGGTAACGATCTTGATTGGAAGTTGTTACGGTAACGGTAGACGAAGTTTGGGTTTTCCTGTTGTTACATGCGTAAATTCGTGTTTACTGGGAGGAGACGCTTTTCCCTGATGCCTTCCAAATTATTTTCTCGTGGAAGATCGACGATCGGTTTCCGGTGGCTCTATCCGATTTCAACACCCGATCGGAGTCTCGAGTTCATACGGATTTTTTTTTTTCTGCATACGAATGGATTCGCTTGAAAAATTTTGCATTGTCGCGAAGGCGCGTCGTTGGTTAATGTTTCAAAGTCGTGTTCGAAATTGTCAATTTCGCGGGCGAAAATTGAACTCGAGAATCGTCGCGCAGGAGACGGCTGGAAGTACATCTTCCAAATGGATTCGAAGAAGAAGGGATTTTCTACGTGGTTTTTATGATAAACGTCGGCAAATATACTTTATCGGGCATGGTACCGAGAGGGCCAAGGACTGGCCGTTTTTCATTTGCAAATTCGATTATCTTCCACTTCGCTCGGCCTCGAGAAAACAACTCATGTTTTTCGCGTTAACGTCTCGTTTAAGTGACTCGTCGAGTAAAAGATCCTCTCGGGGGTGTAAATATTATAAATAATAAATCCTGGTTTAAACCCTCCTCAGAGGGCTTGTGCATGTAAATCGGAGAAAAGTATTATAAATATTTTGACATTTTATATATATGTTAAATGTGCCCATAATTATGAAAGTGGTCTAAGTCAAAATTTAAAAAAAAAATGAGTTTATCAGTTATTTCACGCCACATTATTTTAAACTAAATTAATTCAATGTAATTTCGAAACAAAAAATATATGACTTAGACCACTTTCATAATTATGGGCACAAATGACCCTTTCGGGCTAATTTTTTTTTTTTTCCTTATTCGTGCAAAATCTGCGCGATGGTACATTCCGAAGTGAAAAGACGGTTATGATGCTGTTTACGCTTTTATTCGTTAGGAAAATAAATCCGCCTTTCAATTAGAATACTATTCATTTCTGGGAGTAAAGGACCCCATTGTTCTCCATAGTTTGCAGCGATACCTAAGCATTTTATTATACCCGTGTTCGCCTTAGGGGACGTTCAGGTACGATAATCCGTACAGAGGGACTCATTGATCCGATAATAACATAACAGTTTTAATCCCTCTATTCTAACCATTCGCGCTAAGAACAGAAACCACCCCGTTAAATATCTCTAAATCTCATTACTTTCGGAAAACTTCAATACGTCACCCTAAGCGAACCAATAGTTTGTAACCTTCCCAACTCTCCGGCATTTTGCGATGTTTCGCCTTCGCCTAAAATGTTATCCTAGACCAGAACGTTCTTGAACTTCGAGAGTAAACCACCGTTTTCAGTGAGTAATTTTTCCATGTCAATGGAACGCGAAACAAAAATTATTCCGTACTCGTGAGCGACTTCCGGGCCTCACGGTTAAACTCTTTACAATATTTAACAATTGTCTATCGAAGTTCGCTCGCAGTTTTGTTCGAGTAATCTGCATTAAAAATCCGTAGAAGGACGCATTATCAGGATCGAATCCGTCGAGGAAGCGGTTTAATGGCGTCGTCGGTCCCGATAGCCTTGTAAGTTTCCTGATAAACGAAAATCCCTGAAAAAAAAAAAAAACCCCGCCGCGAAACTTCCTCAAGAGGAAAGAACTAAAATAAATCAGTTGGTCGCAATCGCGAATGCGTAGAAGGACGTCTGCAGGAAGTCGGTCTGCCAAGGATGCGCGTTAACGACCTCGGGTTCTCTCGTCACGTTGCAGGCTTTCCGAAGACAATCGGACGATGATCCTGGCAGCGGACGGGACGTGCCCTATCGATCTACGCGCGGAAACCTCGACGTCCTTATCAGAGGCTGCGGAGGACCTTGTTCGGATACCCCTTGAGAGCTGCGTCTACAGGGGCGAAGGAAACTCCAACATCGTCGTTGCTCTGCTTCCGGTAAGCTTCCGGTCTCCTTTTTAACTCCTTTCTTACCAGGGTCGTAGAGATAAAGCGATGTGTCACACATATGTGGCGGCTGATAGCGAGTGGGTTAAGGGGATGTGAAAGTGGCATCCGAAGAGTAAACCCTTTCACGATACTTTTCTCTTAACTGAGGGTGCTGAATCGTTTCGAACTTCACAACGTGAATGTGGAGGACACAAGGAAGGTCCCAACACTCGGGAAATTTCATTTTTTATAAGAAATTTTGGAAATATCTGGAAAGAAATTTTTTAAAAATTAAATTTTTATCGCCGGCTGGACTTTCCTTACAGCTTCCATATTTACATTGTCAAGTTTGAAACTATTCATAAATGAGAGTTGTCTGAGGCCACTTTCATATCGCCTTAATGGTCAATTCAGATATTTATCCGTTCCGTATCTATACCGTGCGCCGATGGAAATATCATTTTCTTCGATTTATATCGGGGTTCATGATAGACAACAATGCAATTCCATAACAAGTAACGTTCGGCCTTAGAATTGTGAAAGTATTTCGGTGATTTCCAACAATTTGGAAATCACCAGCTGATCTCCATATGATTTCGAGTGTTAAAGTTCATGATTCCCATCAAAAGTTCGCACCTCTTTTTAGACGATTGTTTTTAACGAGAAATGTTAAAGAATTCGGTATGGCAGTCGTATATCTTTGCAGTTTTGCGTGGGTATTGTCCGTGATGGCCAGACAATAAGAGCAGAGCGAAAGAGACTATTTTTGATACTCCAAGATTTTTCCACATTCATGAGTGGAAAGATATATACGGAGGATGCGCGTGTGTGCATACGTGGGTACTTTAGGGATGTTCGTGGCCGTAAATAGTGACGTGCAAGAGAAATTTTCAGGTCTTGCGTTCAAAAGCTGCAGCGGACGGATTCCACGACAGGGACGTAAATAAGCGAGGTGGCGCGAAATCGCCTTTACTTGAAAATATAGTGTCCGACGCTTATTTCTTAACGTTATCGATAAGACAATGATTTAAAACCTTGGCGTGTAACGATATATTCCAAAAATTGACACATATTCGACGTACAATTAGGAATAAAAGTATTCAGCAATGAGGATACCTTCGCGATACAATTTTTGGTACACTCTTAACATCTGGCTCAGGGGTTTCTAGTGAATTTTTAAACACTAATACCTCAAACGTTCAATTCTTTTTATTTTTATTACGATATATATACAATTATTGAAGGCTCTGATATGAGAAACGAAAGTGTTAGGACAATTGTACGATATAGAACATGGTAATCGAATAACTCGTCCTGGATAAAGGAAAAAAAGTGTCTTATGCGCTTTTATGCTAAAACGATGATAGCACGAGGTCGGGAGAAAATTTAGTTGCCACTGAAATCACAGATGGAGCAAGGTGGTACTCTGTAGTCACTTAGGGCATCAAAAACCAGAATCTAGGGGAATTCTGGAGTTTTGCTTCGATTTCTTTATAATTATACGGAAACGACATATGGAGTATGCCATTTAGTGCAATCCCCAATATAATTCGGAAGAGCTGTAAATACAAACACGAACATCGATAATGTAGGCATTTAGAAGAATCTGTTTTACCTGCGTCAATCAAATTTCTCGACGTGTTTCACTTCACCTTAAATACATCGGCTCGATACCGGCGACAGTCTGTCGAAGTCCTAAATTACCCTGGCCAAGTCTATAGTCTAAGTTATAATGTATAGTCTTTCGGAATACCTATTTATAGTCGCATGTTATACGACGCATAAGGCAATATTTGCACGGCATAATTTCGGTCGGATCAAGAGTTGAAATACCTTTAGAATTTCCGAATGAATACGCTCCTGTTAATGTGGGAGTGAAACCTCGGTTCTCTCGTCCCTGTAGAGGTCCATGATTTTTCGGCCTCGGTCCAAGGCCGGTGACGCTCGATGCGCGCGTCGAAAGGTTAAAACTCCATGTTTTCGTTCATACGCCTGACGTCCGTCCCTCTGACCTAACCTAAAAACGGACCGATTCCGCGGCCCGTCGAGTGGGTCGGTTCGAGTAAACGCAGAAAGAGAGGGAAAAAGAGAGCGGGTTCGAGGATCTTCCACTTGCGTGTCATTTTACCGATGATTTCTCCCGCGGTCACTCGAATGTGTGACAAAGTGAATTCTGGGTTAAATTGAGCATCCTTAAGGTGAAGTGAAACCCCCCTGAAATCAGTCGATTCGAATAAAACACTTCTTTCTTTAAGGGTATTGAACCAAACTGTCCAAAACTTTGACACGTGACTCGTGATCATTTAAGAAATGTCCTGACAAATTCAAAATTTGGATTTTTGAAAAAAAAAAATTGTTTAACAGCCCAGACCAGAACTAAAATGCCGACGAGCTCTCATATTTCAAATATACAATTATTGAAGGCTCTGATATAAGAAACGAAAGGGTCGGGAGAATTGTACGACAATTTAGAACACTCTGGTAATCGATAAACTCGCAGTTGAACGGAATAAAGGTAAAAAAAGTGTCTTATGCGCTTCTAACATTCATGACATTTATTATATTTACAGAATTTTTTAAATATACCTTGACAAAAAAATGATATATTAAGTTCAATAATTGTATTATGAAACCACGGTCTGTTTTCGATGAAAAAAATGGATTTTAGTTACGAAGAAAAATTCTTGAATTTCGTACATGACAATTGCATGTAAACCTTTAAAGACGAAGTCTGTTACGAGCTTCCGGAAGCTTTGAAGAACCAGTCTGCATTTTGTATCCGTCGAAAAGAAGGGACGCGCCGCGCCGCGACGCGGGAGTGGCGCTCGCCTGTGGCTACGCAATATCTAGAGGTGCTCGCGCGCTCTCTATCCGTGTGGGTGTGGAGATACGTTGGTCGTTGACCCTGCGCGACTCCGAGGCGCAGCGGAGCCGTCCACGTTAACGGTACGCGAGCTGGAACCACGCTCGAACACGGCCCTTCGATTGCGATCGATCGATTTGGTGATATCGTTGATATCGAAGCGTTCGACAGAGCCGCCTATCACCTTTGGGGGTAGAGTTCTTATAAACAAGTAGCGATTCTTAACACCCCGAGAAAAGCAGCTGGTAAGCTGAACGATTTGACCCTGATAAAGCCATTTTTATTAAGGAACGCTATTTATCGTTTAATTTACCATAAATTATAAACTGCAACTATTTTTGAATAGCTAAGCATCCTCCTGGCTTTTGTACGAATTTTGACGGTAACGATATTTATAGCAAAGGTTTTTACCATTTTGGAATAGGAAGGGGTTTAAACGTATTTCTTCGTTTGGATTAAATAAACTTTTCTCTCGGGGATGGTGGATCGTGAAAAGGGCGCGGTCTGGATCTTATAAATTAACCCGACATTTTGCAAACGACCTTACCGTCAAATTTGATGGATGAGTATTTATTATTAATCCTGCTCGCGTTGACGGTACACGAGCTGAAAACATGGAACTTTGTCCTTCGGCTGTAATCGGTCGAATAAATCGATATCATCGACCTTATCGATGCTAATCAATTTGCCCGTGGGATTTCCTTGCGTGAGATCATTCCAGATATGAAATCTACCGTGAATGGATGGGGCATTAACTGGAAAGCGAGTTTTCTTTCGCGTTCGCGTAGTACCGTCTGCTAATGTTGACTAACATTTCGTGCTCGAATAAACTCTCTTGTTAATGTGGACTGAATCGGGGAGGAAATGCGAAATGGGGGAAATCGCATCTGTATGCATTGCACTCGGACGTGGCCAGGCGCGTCCACTATGCATCGAACATCGCACATCGAGCGTTGTACATTGTTCATCGTGCATGCAGCCGACTAGCGCGGTACGTGAGAACGACACGAGGGTGCGCCACGTCGGCCACGTCATAGTGCAAACGAACTTTGCCTGCCTCGATCGATTCTGCCTTCTACCCGCGCACGGCGCGTTGCGAAACCGTCCAGGGCAAAACACTACCTGGAGGAAGACATGATAAGGTATTTTTTTAACCACGTTGACATGATTCCATTAAATGCGGTATATAGAAATTCTACATTTTCCAAACCTCGGAATTAATAAATGGTCATCACTTAACGTGTTTATAGTGCAACGCGCGGCGCGTTGCGAAACCGTCCAGAGGCAAAAGACTACCTGGAGGAAGACATGATAAGGTATGTTTTTTAACCACGTTGACATGATTCTATTAAATAGAAATCTATTATATAGAAATTCTACATTTTCCAAACCTCGGAATTAATAAATAGTCATCACTTAACGTGTTTATAGTGCAACGCACGGCGCGTTGCGAAACCGTCCAGGGCAAAACACTACCTGGAGGAAGACATGATAAGGTATTTTTTTTTAACCACGTTGACATGATTCCATTAAATGCGGTATATAGAAATTCTACATTTTCCAAACCGCGGAATTAATAAATAATCATCACTTAACGTGTTTATAGTGCAACGGACGTACAGGAGATATGGACCTCGCATATTGTGTAAATGTAATGAAAATTTAACAGGAGCTGTAACATCATTCCATGATATTAATTTGCGCCCGAATTCGAGTCGCACGCTGAGTTTATGTTCTTTTTGAATCGATGGAGAAGAGAGATGAAATTTTCTCGCACCAAGGTCTCATGAACCTCGGTTAAATCATTCTTAGTATAGCAGAACTGTTTCTGGATAAAAATGTTGCTATCTCATTTTCAGGGGTTCGGATTTGTTCAAGCAGGTGGAATTTATTTTTATGACTTTCTGCGTGCACAAGGCCACGTCATTTTCCGTAGTTGAGGGGCATTGCAAGTGCTCATACCCAGATAGACAAAGTGATGTACAATTTTCACGAAAGTTACCTCGTAAAAGTTCATGAAATGAGTCATGAGACTGTCGCTTATCAGTCCTCATTTGTAACTCATATCTGCAATACACAATGACGGATGAAAAATTCTTAAATGTGAGACAGTGTTAACTGCATGCAATGTCGCAGTGTTTGAATGCATACGTACAGCCAAATTTATCCCACGTATCGCTGATAAACAATTGCAACGTCTGTAGCTCATATTTGAGCCATTCTGTACGAAAATTATCTGAAATTTTCATTGAAATTTATTGTGCGATATGCGTAGATGCATTGCAGACATTTCATGCAGCGAACAGTCTGCAGATTGTTTCTAAATGATTTTTCTCGTCATGCGATGATCATGAATTTCTATCCGAATAGTTTGAAGCGTCTCTGAGGTATCGCCTGATAGACCGGCATTTCGCAGGGTCGTTTAACATAAGTACTATAGGTAATTACGCCGTTTTTTTTCAAAAAAAAAATCGGCGAACGAGGTCTGAATTTGGCAATTTATAGGGTGCTCGTTCGCATACCCGTTGCAGGTTCGACCGGACGCACTTCTCCCTCGAAAAAGCGTTTCCTCTATGGTCCGACACGGGATACACGGTTCGGCGCCGTAGCCGACAAAGAATGGCCCTACATGGTTACATGACGACCCTCCGGTTTTTATTTCAGCCTCGCCGTCCGGATTTCCAGAGCCTGAACTTTAGGAAGGAAGCATATTACGTTCAGTTCATTTCTCTTCTCCTTTATTCGCTTCACTCTCACGGGGAGAGAAGCCATTCGGGAAGGAGTCACGTTGCGTCGTCGAAGCCAGAATATTATCGTAGTCGGAAATTCCAAATGGAACGGACACGGAGAGAAATAAAAACCCTTAAGTTGATACGAAAGTGTGGTATATACAAAAGTCAAGATATATTATATGACTTTTCTCCAAATTGGCTGCACCGAATCATTTGAAACTTCATCGAGACATTATGAAGACCCTAAGGAAGAACGCGATGTGTTAAAGTTTCAGGTAATTCGGTGCACCCAGTTTTGAGAGAAGTTTTATAAACATTTTCACGCTTTGATATGAGTAGAATATGATCCTTTCGTATCATCTTAAAGTTACAGAAGTCTATCTGTTGGAAATTGCAGTTCTCGATACGGTTAAAAACTATCCCATTAACGGATTACTCCAGTTAATTTCACTTTCTTATTTTTTAACAGAAGCATTTTTGTAAAAGTCAGCCAGCAACGTGAAATGCTGATGAATGAGTAATCGGTAAAACGAACGACTCAAATCTCGACAAGATAATACGACATGTAAAAGAAATATGCTTGAATTCGATTTTGAAGCGTTTTATTTTGTCATTGTTTCGATGCAACTTTATTGCGCCTTTTAGACTATTAGTCATAATGTGGCTCGAAGGCAATTAAGCAGACTTAATCGAAAGACAGCTCAGACGATTTCACCGAGTTATGGAGAAAGCTGTAAGTGGTTTAATCCTTGACCATTGGTAGGTGGATTTTTATCACGGTTTGCCAGCGAGCCCGTTGCAATTATCAGCCGTACGCTTGATAAGAAAGTACTTTCTCGACGAGCTCTCTTGCCGAGCCTCGCATTACTTCTCTGTGGTCGGACAAATCCGCTTAAAATGAATCCGAGCAACGAGTCGTTGACACTTGTATTATCCATGTCAGTTTTAAACGACTCTTGACGGTTATCACCGCTTTTATTCGAGAGTCGAAGTTACTTTACAACCTGTCAGCGCAAGGCTACGGGTTATTTAAATTTTTTTTTTCCTCTTTATTCTTTTCATTTTGTATCGCTATAATCACTGAAAAAGAGTTCAAGTGGAGCACGATACGCTATTTATCAATGGTGTCTTATTGTTAGTCAGTACTGCGTTAAGGTGAAGTGAAACACGTCGAGAAATTTGATCGACGTCGGTAAAAAAGATTCTTCTAAATACCTAAAATGTCCTAGACGGTAAAAAAAAGAGACGAGTTCCCTTCCATAGTAATTAAATTGAGTAATTAAATTACTCGTCGAGGTACATTTAGGAATACACGATACGCGTCACTGGCTAGGTTGTTAAGTAGTTACTGGTTACATAGTGCAACGTGTGACGAAAAGGAAATCAATGGGACAGAAAATCACGTCAATAATTAGGTATAACTAAGGCTGCAACCATGCGTGTAAATCGGCTCCTGGTGCAGCCGCAGCGATGCAAGTGACGAATTATTGCGATTAAGAAATTCAAAAAGAATCAGGCAAATCGGATGGAAAGTAACAAATTTTTTAAAGGCATAGCAACGGACTCGTAAGTGAAGAGTATCAGAAAATCGGAATAACAAAGGACCGCGTTATAAAACAATGTGACGCGAATTTTTGTTTGACTCCCATCCATAAGTCATATTCATGACAACAGGTGTCTTATTCGAATCGACTGATTTGAGGGAGGTTTCATTTCACCTTAATGTGTAATTACCTGCATAGCGGGAAAGCGAGAGCTCTAACAACTGCAGTTGTATAATTTGAGAATGATTTCGTTGATTCTTAAAGTGTCTTTGATATTACTCCATTATGGAAAGGAAAGTGTCTATTGATCGACTCTCGTAGGCACTTCCATTTTCATCCGCGCGAGCAATCGTGCCAATGTGAACCGTTCTTCTGACGTATCAATTGAATTTTCAGGAGCACAAAGTCATCCGGTTCCGCAAACGTGATCCATCCGAAGGCCCCACAGACGGTGGGAAAAGACGAGCTCGGAGAGAAGTGGAATTCCAGGAGAAGGTGGTCTCTAATTTCCTCGGCTGTTACATCGAAGTGCCGCGAATTCTGCGTATCTGCCCTCGGGATAAGGCGAAGCTCTTGGAAGCCATCCGACCATTTCGACCAGGTAAAGCCGTTACACCTCTCGGTTTTCCCATAATGATCTGAAATGTGGAGCATTTTTTTACACGCCTGTTCGTAATAAAGGCGAAAACACGATTCCTAGGTGAATCTCGAGTATCGATCGCAGTGACCAATGCCGAAGAAACAGGAAACATGTTTCGAACGTGCAGATTGAGACAGCTTTCTCACTGGCGTGTCAGGTGATACGAAAGGCGCCGAGAAATTCAATCGACGTCTATTAAATAAAATTCCTCTATACTCTTTTTGGTGGGAACGCCATTTTGAATACTCAAGTGGTAACATAAGCTGTAAATGCGTAAAACGTGAAAAACTTGCACGGACGACGTCGTGTTGGCTTCTAGTCCATGATAAATAAGTCAATTTTGTATAAAAAATTAAATTTCATGAATATGAACCGAATCGGTACATCCATTTCGGAGTATACTTTCACGAAAGATTTGACCTCTCAGATGTATATTGGCGGAATATGTTCATATCACCTGAAGGCGCGAGACTATCGCGTACATTATTTTGTATGTAATTCCCTATAGGACACGATTGCACGGCTAAGTCGCTAATGTGTACCATTATAGGGAATTACACACAAATTAATGAACGCGATGGTAGTGCGACTGGATTGTTGTTGCTAAAAATCGCCCGGGTGAATGCCATCAAAACCTCTGATTCTCACAAGATAGACTCTCTTATCAGTTTGGTTCATTTTTGGATATGAGTGGAATATCAAAATTTAGGGGTCCAGAATGTTGTATTATCTAGCGACGACAGCTTTTCATGGAAACGAACGTCTTCCGGTCCAAAGATGTGTCAGGAGGTGGTTAAACGGTATTCCTCCAAAGTGTCCCACAGTCTAATCTCCATGTCCTGATTATTCCATGTCAATTCATCCTCGGATGAATTATCTATATATAATAATTTCATACGGTGCAAGTTTCCCCCTCGTGGAGCCCCGCTAACGGTATATAAATATTTACAACCTAAAGTTTTTGACAGTTATATGTATCTTATATTTTGAGTGCACATCCGCATTGGGTAAAACCTGGCTGGCAAGTAATGTAACTCGCCTCGCCTTAAATATTTATGGCCCGTTTCGCGTACCCTTTAAGTACAATAACTGCGAGCGGACTAGAGGATTTCGAAAGCCAGGCAGATAAAGAGACGAGTTTTTCCCAACAATGTCATTTGGACTCGGTCGAAGCGATCTCCCGCGAAGATGACCTTTTCCGCTTATGGACGATTGCAAATAGACTCGACCCCACGACTATTCGCTGTCTTTGGGAAATAATGCCACGAGCTGGTTCAGCTGGGCCATTGTTGCCTGGAAAGCAAGAGCGACAATCGTGGTTATTTTTTATCAAGAACCCTAGTACCGTAGAATAATTTCTAAATCTTTCTTTGTAATCTTTGCTAAATATCTCAAGCGACAAATTTTTTAAGATGTCCTGTAGATTTCATTAGAAGATATCCGAAATATTTGGTGAAAATCTCAATGACGTATTTAGTTTCAACAATTTATAAACACACGTAGAAATTATATTCTTTAATTTATGAACATATAATAAAGTTACATTTTTTTACTTCACGATTATTATCGGACACTTGAACAAAAAAACACGACGAATTTTTGTAATACTTTCGTTCCGCTATTTCAATTCGGCAGATAATGTTTAAAAAGTACTTATATTAAAATGAAACGAAATGTTTTGCACGTCCGTTAGAAAAATATGATGAAAACACATGGAGGTAAAATATTATGCAAATATTCTAAATAAAAGATTTTTCGCATTTACCGGTTTATTAAATCATGGGATACCCTGCGGAACATGGTAAGATGTGCAGTCCCATAAAAAATCGGTCAATGTTTTAGAGAAAAATCGCTTACGTCTCTTCCTAAGGAACCGAGAGTTTCTCGCCGTCTGAATAAAACCGAAGGAAGAACAACGTTTAAGTTAATTTCTCCGTTTCGCAATTCGTTCACTCGGTAGGAATGGAATCGTTACGGAAACGGAGACGCGCTTTAGGGAGCAGTTTTTTGCAGACCCTCCGAGGTAAAAAGGCAAATCGCGTTGGTCTCTGAGTACAAGAGCGCGAGGAGTTACGCCTCGGGCTTCCGGTTTGCTCGCCACGCTTTTACCGAATGGCACTTTCTCCGGTCGGATCGGCTGGTTGCAGGACTCAAATGTAGCAATGCTCGATACTGCTGGTACCCTTTGTCACGCGATGCTCGCAAACCGGTAGTTAACTCGTACAGTCTGCGCCTACTCGAGTCGGAATTATCGATCTCCCTTGAGCCTCTAAATCCTCAATTTTTTTTCATCGCTATCATAGTCGTTTAATCCTTTACTCTGTAGACGAAAATTTTAGTCTCCTTTAGTTCCATAAGAACCTCGTAATGCATTTATCTCGTTAGACCCGTCGAGTTCTCTGAACGTTTCAATTGAATCGAAGCTTGGAAAAAATTGTCGATGGGTACGGAATGATTATTCCATTTCTTACGAGTTGGGCCTGAAAATCTTCAAAAACTGTTAACCCAAGGCTCCAATATGAAAAACGAAAGGGTCGGGACAATTGTACGATGGTTTAGAACAGTTTAGTAATCGAGAAACTCGCATTTGAACGGGATAAAGGCAAAAAAGTGTCTTATGCGCTTCTATGCTAAAACGAAGGTAAGGCAGGATTTCCGAACGAAAATTTAGTTGATACTAAAATCACAGATGGCGCAGGGTGGCAACTGGGGCCTTAGAAACCATGACGCCAGGGGATTTCTGGAGTTTACTTCGATTTCTTTATAATTATTGCACGGAAACGACATATTAAGTGTGCCATTTGGTACAATACTAGCAATAATCTTCTGTTATCTTCTGTAATCTTACAATAATCTAGCTGTTATCACTCTTGCTACCCATATCGCTGTAGCTCTAGTCACATTTGTGCAACTGGCTTCGACTAAATCGTCTTCCTCTTGACCCTTGGCATGTATTTGATGAGACCACGAAAGGTTCTTATGAATATATCGACGTGACGTGAGTTTTCAATGAAATTTATTCAATCCAACAACGGAGGAGTCGGTGTAGGATTGTTTGGTGTTCACGTTTAGGGGCTAAATAGATACTAAGGGACCAATACCTGCCTCATCATTAAAATCGAAGGTGTTTCTCCACATTCTTATTCTCCCGGTGGCACCAGGCCTTATAATGAAGTGAGTCAGTCTCGGCCCCGATGTGAAACTACTTTACACCGGCTTTCAGAGTTATTCTTATGCTATAGCACAAGTCAGACAATGTGAAGTCATGTTTTCTGTAAGGCAAACGTCCACGTCGCGAGTACTTGTCGTGAAAAATGATGTCCAATGTAGTTGGTCAGATCGAATGCGCCATGGACGGAAAATTTGAGGGTCTTAAGGTGATATGAAAGGCGCTGGTAAATTTAATCGACGTCGATGAAATAAAATTCATCTATACCCTTTTTCATGATAACGCTTATTTAGATTCTCGAGTGATAACATAAGTTTCGGTTAAAGTTTCAGATTATTCGGTGTATCCAGGCTTGGAGAAAGGTTTTATAAATATTTTCCGTATGTATGCATCACACTTTCATATCACCTTAATGCTCGGAGGCGAGAGCTCGAAATTCGCACGAGGCGAGCATTCCCTTCTCAAATGACGGTCACATTATCTGTATCGCGTTTCGCGGCGAGCACAAAAAGTCGTAAAGATGAGCATTTCCAGCGGAAAGGAGTCTCTCGACCGAAATTGCGGCTCTCCTTCACGTGGGAGAGAATCACCGCCGCGAACTGGAGCTCGTCGAAGGAATTGAAGAGAAACTATGCAAATAAAAAGGAAAACACTTTTACACAACGAGTTGACCCAGATATCACGTAATTTGCATACGAAACCTAATTGGATGATTTATTACATCGGGACGTCGCGAGCGATATCGGGAGCTACGTATTTGCAACGCGAAATGCAGTTCCCTAAAGATAAATAAAGGGATAGGGCGCCCGATTTCTGGCACCGATAACTTATAATTTCTCGAGTTTCTTCTCGGGGTGCAACAAAGGCCTCTCGGACCGAGGATTTCACCTCTCGAGCGAAATTGCAGCCGTTAAGGCTCACTCCGCCGATAACTGCCGATAACTGCCGCCGCCATGACGCCGCTAAAAGAATTCCCCATTTGGCAAAGAATCGCCCGTTCGGTGAAACTCTTAGGCCAAGTCTAACGAAACTCTTCGTCAAAATGACGGAACGCGCAAGATGCTTTTATTGGGTTTCAAATTGATTTCTTACATCGTTTTATTCAGATCCGACGTGTGGACCAAGAGGACCATTTCTTGACTAACAATAAGAAATGAGTCCGATAGAAGTATAAAAAGATGTAACTATTCTAAGAACTGCCAAGCAGGTCGTGTCGCCATATTAATTCTTCTTTCATTTAGTAGGTACGGATGCAAAATAATTTGTTAAGGTGATATTTATACGATAAGATATTTATAAAACGTTTCTCCAAACTGGGTGTACCGAATCGTTTCAAACTGTACAACGCGAATGTAAAGGCTATAAGGAAGGCCCTGATACCCATAAAATTTCATTTCTTATAAAAAACGTTGAAAATATCTATAAACAAATTTTTAAAAAATTGAAATTTCACAGGTGTCAGAACCTTTCTTATAGCCTTCGTATTCACGTTATAAAGTTTGAAACGATTTGATTCACCCAGTTCGGAGAAAACTTTCATAAACCTCTCTGCTGCCACTTTCGCATCACCTCAAAGTAAACTCCATTGTTTTGAATATTATTTTTGCAACAAATGGTATCTTTGTCTTAGTCACGTACCCTTAATACCAGATAGTAATACGCGACTTGGATTGAATGAACGTGTCTATTAGAAAAGTATCCCCGGATTTTTTACGTCAAATCGCATGTATACTTTATGGCTCTTTTCGAGTCTTAGTCACGTACCCTTAATATCAGGTAATAATACGCGACTTGGATTGAATGAACGTGTCTATTAGAAAAGTATCTCCGGATTTTTTACGTCAAATCGCATGTATACTTTATGGCTCTTTTCGAGTCTTAGTCACGTACCCTTAATATCAGGTAATAATACGCACTTGGATTGAATGAACGTGTCTATTAGAAAAGTATCTCCGGATTTTTTACGTCAAATCGCACGTATACTTCATGGCTCTTTTCGAGACACAACAAAGGCTCGAGTCTTCGGCGTCTAGGAGTACCCCTTTCCCTCGAGGGGAATTGCAGCTCTCCGCGGATAACTGCCACCGCGTTGGCGCCCACAAAAGAAATACTAATTCGGCGGGAACCCTCGTCCAGGGGAACTCCTCTTTGGTGCACGCGAGCCGAAATAGCGCGGATCGTTCCGACCCGAGGACCACGGGCGAGACGACCGGAGATGCATGGTTAGCCTTGGGCTCTTTTCGGTCGGACGTCGGGCTCCTTGGGAGGGTTCTGTATTTATCTTCATCCCTCTTGGCTTCTCGAGACGGACCCTCCGTTTCGTAAGGCAGGGCCGTCACCTGCGATAACCTGCGCCAACCTGCGTTAGGATTCAGCCGGAAGAAATAGAATCAGGCACCGTCATGGAAAGAATTCCTACAAGGACAAAGCTTCGTCGTAACAAGTTTCTTTCCGTCTTTAATGGTATAACAAATACTCGTATCTCGTTCATTTTTTTTTACGCTATATATCCTACGTTTTTATACCCCTACGAATGATTCCATATAATGTTTAATGAAAATTAATGTAATTTAGTGGAATTTCGTCTTATTAGAAAGCATGAAGTAGTATAAGGAGGTACAATGCCATGTATTGGAGTCGTCCCCATTTTAGGGGTTCGGGATTTTCAGATTTTTCTGATCTAGGGCCGACTCTTCGGTGAAGTTTTGCAATTAAAAATTATCCGCTAGTCTTTATCGCGTTAACATCACATTCTGGGTATCATCCGCGGGTTATCGTTTAACTTTGCGTACCGTAATTGCAAAATATGGGTATTCTAGGTCATTTTCGTCGGTAGGAAATTTTTCGGTCATGTAGGATTGGAGTTCCTACATTTTCCACAAGTAGCGCTCGCATCGTTAGCGAAATTCTGTGATTGTCTTGTTATACTACTTCATGTTAAAAAGCACACGCATTGGAAAAATATTTGAAAGAAATCATAAAAAATAAATGTTAAATTAAATCAGATGTTTCAGCCAACAGGCACGTTCGAGCACGCAATCGGTCTCGTACTTCGTAATTCGAGTACTAGATGATACACAGTTATGAAACGTGTTTTACTCTGAATGGTACCTCATTAATCATCGTCTTATCGATTGTTTATGTCCAGGGCAAGCCCTATTTCCGAGATTCGTTAAGATCGTTTTCCTCGCTTCCATGTCGAGAAAAAGATAACGTTACCTCGGGGAGAACCCGATTCCTTGAGGGCTCAGCCCCCGGAGTTCTCCATACCTGCCGAAGAAATAACGAAGGATGGATTTCATGGAATAAACCGATGAATTGTCCATGGATAATCCCCTTTCCAAGAAATATACCTGGTTTTCCGTCCTTGGTCCTGAAGGACGGGAAGGAGGCAGCAGATGCTTGTACTCGTCTTTCGTCTAAAATCATTCGGCTCGCTTTTGCGCCCGAATAAGGGTGGCATTACCACTGAAAGAATCCGATTCTTGGAGGTGCAGACTGCACCGACCTGCACCAGGTTCCACCGACCTGCAGCAGTCCGCACTAGCCTGCTCCTCGACACAAGAGATCCCATACCTGCCCATACCTGTATTTTTCGTTCCTCTTTCTTTTCCTTCCGCCCCTTCCGAAACGCAGGCCTTCGATTTTCTTTCTCCCTTCCGCTCGCCTCGTTGTTGGTTTTTTAAGAGTTTATTCTTGCTCCGCTTTCATCCAATACTGTCGACAGAATCAGATTAAAGATTTTAAGGTTAAGTGAAACCCCCTCAAATCAGTCGATTAGAATAAAACCATTTTTTTAAGGGTATTGAACCAAACTTTGACACATGACTCGTGACCATTTAAGAATTGTCCTGACACATTCAAAGTTTGGATTTTTGAAAAAAATTGTTTAACCTAGCCCAGACCAGAGCTAACGTGGCGTCGAGCTCTCATATTTCGATCAATATACAATTATTGAAGGCTCTGATATGAGAAACGAAAGTATCGGGAGAATGTACAATTTAGAACACTCTGGTAATCGATTAAGTCGCGTTTGAATGGGACAAAGGGAAAAAAAGTGTCTTATGCGCTTCTATGCTAAAACGATGGTAATACGAGGCCTCGGAGTGAACATTTAGTTGACATGGAAATCACCTTAAGCTTCCGCGGTCAGAGTTGTTCCTTAAATTTGTTGGGGCTTTCAGGAGTGACCCACGTCCATTGTTGCCAGTGGGCCAAAAGAAGTGTGCATTAGTCCGTTAAATGTGGAATCGATTGGAATTGTATTGATGGTATTGCAACCATGCTAAGTTGTAAAAAAAATCCCACAAGAGAGAATTTCCAAGTCCAAGGAACGAATAACAATTTTTTTTCCTTACTTTTTTCGCTTTGGGTGACGGTGCGTCGTTATACCGCGGAATGACGTGTTTAGTTTCATTACTAGCAAATAGTCTTTTCCGCTCTATTTCATAACCCAGATGGATGAGTTGCTGTTTGTAACGCTGAATTAACTAGATTCCAGCACTCGTAATATACAACACACCTTTATGGCCGGTTCCACTAACATCGATTAAATCATTGATTATCTAAGAGTATGTTAAAGTAAACAACTCATTGTAACCGAGGATTAACTTCTTAACCGAGGTTCGTGGAACCGGGCCTTGATAGTATTTTTCGGATATCATTTTTTTTAGTATAAATCAGGTTTTAGAGACATTGACGACTGGCCTCGAGTTTAACACATAATTTTTCTCACTGTCTGACGATACAATGTTTTTTTATCCGACAAGTTTGAAAATGTTTATGTAACTCTTCGTCCATTGTGTTCAGTCGTTTGTCTAGTAGTTTAGTCATTTGTTGCGCATTTGCGGTGGCTAAAGTTTGGTCAGTAAATGGCGAACCTCATCCCGCCGAAATGCTAGAGGCTCCTGAACATTAATGTCGCACTCTGTGCACGCGTAAATATCGATGACGTACGACGTCCATAAATGTACGCAATTACACACTTGCCGCGGGCCTTCGGTTCTCCGTCTTTCTCCTATTCCTGTCTTTATCTCTCCCGTTGAGTTGCGCCTACCTTCGTTTCTTTCGACCTCAGGTTATTGATCCGACTTAACCGGGATCCGACATTTTTCGAAAGCGAAGAGGATAATTTATAGCTAGTCAGAATTGCCAGTGAGATTTTACGTGATGCAAAATGATCGTTATTAGTACTTTTCTCTCCTTTTTACGGCAAATGTTTCCGACGTTAAGTTAAATTAACACCGCCAGTCGATGTCATGTACGATTTAATTGCACTTTCTTTCTAATACGGAAAACAGTTTTATTTTGCCGTTTTTCTTATCGATCGTTATCCTGTTTCAGAACGTCGTCGCGATCAAGAGATCGTCGAAGAATATGCTACAGAGTATTTGGATTACACGTTTCTGCCGTTCGCTTCGAGATTTAATGAAGAAACGACAGCTTCGAATTCGACCTTCTGCGTGGAGATTAAACCAAAGCAAGGCTATGTACCTAAAAGAGATCGTCAATTCCAGATGTGTCCTTACTGCCTTGCTCAGTATTACAAGGTGAGATTATCAAGAGTAAAAACAGTCCCGAAACGAACAAAAAATTGAATTCTTTTAAAATGTTTCCGCAACTTCTATATAAATCATTTTAGAAGAGAAACAATCAGACAAATTATACGTGTAAAATATAGACGTATTTTGAAAACGCTCGATTTACGTGAAAGTTATCACATCCGCGAAATGCATGAAAAATTCTATAACGAAACTTCGTATGTCTACATGTATAAGTTCTACATGTGTCACGCATTTAAATTATTTAACAATGTATGTTCAGGACGGAATTGTACACTGATTGAAAACAAATATGTTTGAACAAAACTCATTTTTTCATTGCTACACAGTTGAACAAGCATATATTTGATTCAAACATATTTGTCGATTGACCCTATTTGTTTGATGTAATCAAATGAATTGCTTCATTTGAATTCAATAAATGTTTCATTTAAACGGACGTTTTAATTAAATATACCATTCTCTCAGTGTAAAGTACTCTTACGCGTTAGTAATAGTAAATACGTGTATCACCCCCATGAGTAAACTCGATAGTACTTCCTAATCAATATTGTATGATTTCAGCTGAAGAAAGGAGCAATCAGGAATCGAAGTAATTACTGTCCTATGGATCTCTTCTCTGGAGAACGCGAACGAATGCGCCGGGCTGTTCACGGGCTGTTGGAGGCGCCGCAAAATAATCTAAAAATATTCAAAGATGGCATTGTCGTTTACGACCATGATTCTTACCCTGAGAATATCGAACGGATATTCGCGGAATGGTTTCAGGGTAGCCGTTTCGGGAGCAATGAACAGTACGTGGACAAGTTTGTAAATCTTGTTTGCGAGGCTCTTCTGTATCCTTTCCCACGGAATACACGGCCGAGTGGTCCGATAATCGAGCCTCGGATTGAAATGCTTCATCGGCACGATACTCTACCTAGATTCAGACAAGAAATCGTCGCCAAGGCCAGACAAATGATCTCTTTTGCTGGCAAGGTAAACTCTCATGATCGAGAATTGCTCAAGTTAACCAAGAATACATTATGAATGTATCAACAGTGTACCGATGGCAATGATTCATCGCCTTTGTGACATGTTCAGACGGAAGGTTCATGCTACGTCAATAGTTGCTTAAATCGATTGTTTTTTTTAATTCTGGATTGAAGTTTGCTAAAACGTCTCTGTACATTATGAGTTTCCGTTAAAGCGCGGTAACAACCAGATAGAAATTCATGATCATCGTGTGATGAGGAAAATCGATTTACAAACAATTTCCATGACGTGTCTGCAATATATGTCCGCATATTGAACAATAAATTTGAACAAATATTGGCGGTAAATTTGTGATAAATGGTTGAAGCGATATATTTATCGCATACTTGAGTCATATGCTAGTTATACCATAACCGACATTTATGAACTGAAAATTTATGGATAATTTAACGGGAGCCTTACGTCATTCCATGACATTAATTTGCGGATATTGTATGAAGTTAGTTAATGCTACAAATGTGAGCTAAATATGACGTTGCTCCAAGTTTCCGTTTCTATTGTGACATGACTCAAATATGAGCTACAGACGCTGCAATTGTTTAACGGCAATGCGTGAGATAAATTTAGCTGTACATATGCGTACAAACATTAGGAAATTTGTTTCAATGCTAATATAGTAGGAAATTATTAAGACTTGTTCTTGAATGAATAACATTGAAATCATTATTTTGTACAATTTCAGAGTTGTGACCTTAAGGGAGGAGAGCTGCCGGAAGGCTCGGTATTGGAGAGAATATTACGCATGCAACAGCTACCGTACTGTTCTGCCGATGTTGTGTATCAAGCGTACAACAAGTACTTTGCAACACTTAGCAAGGAAGCAATATACTCTGACATCATGGAGATGTACTGGTCTGGTGAAGATACACCATCACTTCCTAAGAATATGGTAATTTCCGTTTGCTAGCGACCGCTTGAGGGTTTGTTTGTACTTCACGTATCCACCTAATTTTAGTTTGTAGCATTTTGTAAAATTCTAAATGATAGATTAAGAAGGCAGGAGAATGTTATTTCACAAACTGGTACATTTCGCAGTCTTCCGCGAATACTCAGTTGCGAGCACGTAAACTTCTTTATTATTATCATTTCACATTATTTAGAAACTTCGTGATAATCTTCATTTTTTGTTAAGTCTTATCTGATCCGTATGAAGTTTAGTAAACTATAACCATGAAGTAGTATAAGGAAACATAACGCCAATGGTCGGTTCCACAGAAAGTAGCCTCAGAATCGGGATCCAGGATCTCAGATTTCTTATCTGATCCATATAAAGTTTAGTAAACTATAACCATGAAGTAGTATAAGGAAACTTAACGCCAATGGTCGGTTCCGCAGAAAGTGGCCCCAGAATCGGGATCCAGGATCTGATTTTCGCTGATTGAACGATGCGAGCGCTACTTGCGGAAAATGACGGAACTCCGATCCTGCATGACCAAAAAAACATTTCCTACCTATGTAAATGACATAAAATGCTTTTAATCTTGCAGTTTGGGTACGCAAAAGCGAAACGGTAATCCGCTTATGATATACAGAATGTGATGTTATTAATGCGATAAATACTAGCGAACGATAACGTTTAATTGCAAACTCTCATGGAAGAGACGCTCTCGGCACCAGATCAGAAAAAAAATCCGATGTTCTTGGACCCCTAAAGTGGGGACGATTTTAATACATGACGTTGTATCTCCTTATACTATTTCGTGACTATAATATTCGAAAATTAAAGGTATAGAACATGGAATATTCTCGTACTTCAATGATGAACATTTACAGATGACCAAATTTTGTCAGTATGAATCAGTAATTGAATATAAGGCAGCACGTCTGAATAAATTGTGAATCAATTTCGTTTCTGTTTAAGGTTCTCTGTAACAACTGTACAGATGTGGACGACGACAATATTTTAACCGAAAGTGATGAAATGATTTCATCACAACGAATTCTCTCTTCAAAAAGTTCGAAAGGAGATGTTAATCGAAACCAACGAAAGTGGCCAACGAGTTCTGAAACTTACAACGAAATGGAGGTGACGGATGCAAGTCATACTCCTTGTTTTGAAACAACTCTGAATAGCTGCAGATGCAGCAATAACAATATCAAAGCAAACAGTCAGTCTAATAGTGAAATATTAGATTTTACCGTTAACGGTATTCCGAGCCTCGACGAGTGCCTTGCATTGCAGAATTATTTATTCTCCGTTACAGCGAAAGATTGTTCGATACTCATATCCTTCAAAGAACTTGAACCGTAAGTCCTTGCCTCTGTGGATCTGAGAATATGTACAACACGTTGACACTTATACGACTGTTTGTTATTCAATTTTTAATTCAATGTTATTTATGATCTTCAAGGTCTGCTTGCGAACGTGTTCCTGACGTCCATATCGTGCGGCTTCTTGATGGGGATACATTTATGGTTAAAGTGGCTGTTGTTGATTTAGATCCAAAACAAGTGCACTGTATCAGAAGACATCATCAGCGAGACGTCAACATCCTTAATGCTGCGATACAGGCTCTGGAAACAGAAGTAGAATCTAGAAAATTAATTAGCCTAGAGAAATTGAGAGTTGAACAGTGACATTAACTGTTAATATTTCAGTAGATTGAAAAACGAAGAGTTGAGTAACGAATAAGACTGGATTAATTTATGAATCCAATATGTTTAAGTATGATCAGTGAAATGCTAATTGACTACCACACATCAATGTTTTATAACATTTATTTTATTTCTCCATAGTTTGTTAAGTAATTTGAATATGCTTATACACATTAAGCATTCGTTATGTGATACATGTGTAACTATATTAACAATAATGAACTATGATTTTTATACAAGTACAAGCGAAATAGCTGTGTAAGGTATAATTATAAATTATTAATGAATGTTCTAGTCCTTTTTACATTAAAACAACGTTTGTAATGCAATGTTTATGATCGAATGATGGCCGTCAGTCGAATATACGTTTACATAGTGATAAAGTGTCATTATGGATTGTAACTTTCATCGAATATAGAGTAAATTTTCTGGTGAATATTATCTATACTGAATCGTACGTGTCCATTTATTTTTTTATATATTATCTTTATGTCATTAATATTTAACTGTTACATAGCAATCGTCAGTTAATTCATTTCTTAGATTATGTAAAGATAATTTTTGAATTGATCCAGTTAGTCAATAATTGCAATTTAAAAATGGAGCTAAGTGCGGAAATATTATTGTTACAGTGAGACGTAAATAATTATTTATATTATTTTTATTGCCTGAAATATGTACATATTTATTTTCCGTCATTTATACAACTTGTAACGTATTTATAAAATTTCTAACAAGATACTAAAATATGAGAACAAAGTACATTTATGTATTCATTGATATTACATCTCATAGATCAATGAAACATATATGAGTAACATAAATACGTAAATCTGACAGTAGGTACAAGTTAATACTTAGATAATCCTAAGCTGACATAGACAGGTATGTATAGAAATTAATCATCATATGAAATTATCTAGTCCCAAGCTTTCTGATCTCTAATAAATTAATAACCGACATCTTTTTCTGTAACAAACGTTGATAACATTATAGACGTGATTCTCTTAATTTCTGTTTATTTTATGTGAAATTTAATAACATAGCGTTTTACTAGATAGGACTAGCGTCGTAACTAGGATAGCGCAACCGATCTTGATCAGATGGTACGATCAATGGGGGGAAGATTAATTGAAATAACGGATGTAAATGGTAAAATTGGAGGGGGATCGTAACATAATAATTTACACCAGGTGCAGTTACGCCTGATTACGTTCCTGGGTTGGACGCCATGCAATGGTCACCAAGATCGAGCCTCAAATCATAAGACAGAAAAGATCTCGTCAGAACCGGAGAAATAGTTCCAAAAACGTTGCATCAAGGAGGGGTTCCACTTTCCGTTCGACTTCGAGCCGAAGCTCGCAATCGTTGAACCAATATTAGAAATATTCCAGCGCGTCCATAATCCCATTTTCTAACGATTTCGTGTCCGCTTTATTCTCTCAAAGTTCACGATGGGTTTAACCTCAAAGTGGAACTACCACGCGACGTAAAGTTTCTTTGAGCCGTTCCTGTAACAGGGCGCAAGCCCTCTCTCCTGCCTCCTCCCGGAGTCGAGCAGAGTCGAGTGCCGTGAAAGAGCGACTCGGCCTCGCTCGGTCATGAATGGCGTAATTGCATAGTGGGGGCAGTGCGCGGCCGAGACCCGATGCGCGCGGCGATTGGTCCATTCCGTTGGAGCGCGCTCCTGATTGGCTGGCCGCGGGCTGGCTGGCTGCGCGGGGCGCTCTCCGCCTCGGCGCCCGGCTCAGTCGGGGTCGGTAAATGGCGGTGTCTCGATCGGTCCCGTTGGCTCGAGCGCTCGGCGCGAGCTCGCGCGAATCCTCGCTTCCGTGATGGCCGCCCTGAGTCCCTGAGTCCGCGGCATCCGCGGATCCCGCGGGGCATCTAGTCGACGGCCATGGGTACGCAAAAACCAGGGGAATGGGCCAATTGGCTGATCACAAGATTCGAGGAACAGGTACGTTCCGTCGCCCGGAACGCCAGCCACTTTGAATCTCCTTCCTCCCCGCCTTGGTCGCTCCGGGCTTCTTTCCGTCTCTTTCTCTCTCCCTCTCGTCTCCATTCGCACCCGCGCGCACCCTCCTCTTCTCGCTCTCTCTCTCTCGCGCGCGTCTCGTTTTCTTTCTCCCTCTCGTGCTCGATTCACGCGCGTGGCCGTGCCCACTCGCCCTTCGCCCCTTGCTAGCGTTTCGCACCTCGCCCTACCTCAAAGGCAGGGTTGGGTAATTTCCCGTTTTTCGAGGTTTTTTACGTATGTACGTGAACCAAGTACTTCACCGTAGGAAATCGTCGAAAACCAGTAAATTATGTTTCCAATATGAAGGATACCGTAGATGCACGATATATGGCATCCGTTAGGTTATAAACGTCTTTTAGCACATATGTAAATACGGAAATATTTTTAAATAATATATTAATTTGGCGCTTGTGTTCGAAATTGTTTAGAATTTTACGTTTCCAATATGGCGGTTGCCGCATATGCATGATATATGTATCCGCTTGGTTATAAACGTCTTTTAGCGCACATGTAAACACGTAACAATTTTTATGAAATTAATTTGGCGATTAACATTCTTTCGACTTAGTTCTGTTTAATATCGAATTTCTAACTGGATTAATAATTTTCTATTTAGAAGTAGAAGGGCGTAACATACTTCGCGCTCGCGTAGAAATTTTCGGACATATTACACGTTGTAATATACACGTAGAAAACCACATATATTACATGACGCATATATCTGCCTTGCTCAAAGGTATCAACGATCAACCTTACCCAAGTCTTAGCCAGGGTTGTGCAATGACGCGTCATTAGAGGTTTATTTTTTATATAAAATAGATTAGGTAAAATGAATTCCCCCTCAAATCCATCGATTAGAATAAGACACTTTTTTTTTAAGGTATTGGACCGAATTGTCTGAAATATTGGCACATGACCTGGGAGCACTCAATGATTATCTTGACACTTAAAATTTGGATTTTCGAAGGCGAGACAGGGTCATTTATGACGTAGGGAACGAACTGCCAAATTTAACCCTTTGAACACGGAGCCATTTCGACATATGGGCGAAATTCGTCTGACCGTGCAAGCAATATTGGACCAAACGTCGGGCGTCTTTAAGTGCTCTTAGTAGCCAAAGGGTTAAGGGAGGTGGTAATATTAAGAACATGGTAATAATTGACGCACCTACGCCATACAATCTGAACTGTATAGAAAGTATTTCATGTATGCGATGTTTATTTTGTGTCATCTTTATCCTTTCGTGCTCGATTCATGTCCACGGTGGTGTACTCGCTCCCCTTGCTCTTTTCGCATTTCCTCACACCAGCCTCAAAGGTATCAACGATCAACTTTACCCGCGCTTCAACCATTTTTCATGCATGACGAGCAGGAAAGAGAATATCCGTAACAGCTCGCGGAATTGAATAAGTTTTTGTTCCGTCGTGTCATGAATAGGGATGCGATATATTCATTCAATACATAATTGACTCGGAAAGAAAATCAAATGACAAGAATATTTGAATACGATCGGAAGTTTTTATTTCTATATCTTTTGGGAGTAGTAATCTTGATGCTTTTTTGTAATTGGCGAAAGGGTCTGTGTTCAGAGGGTGAAGCTATCGATATCAGTTTTTTATCGTACTAAGTACCCAGATAGAAATTCATGATCATCATATGATGAGAAGAATCGATTTACAAGTAATTTGCAGACCATTTGCTGCGGGAAATGTTTGCAATATATTTACACATGTTACGCGCAATAAATTTGAACAAACCTTTGCGGTAAATTTGGTCACGCCATAGATTAAATATGAGGTACAAACGCCGCAATTGTTTATCAGCAACGCGTGAGGTAAATTTAACTGTACATATGCGTACAAACATCGAGACATTGCATGTAATTAACTTTGTTTCATGTTTAAGTATCCTTGGTTCGTCATTGTGTACTACAAATATGAGTTCCGAATGAGCATGGTCTTTTATCAGGCATTTTTCATTCAATTTTTTCCATCACTTTGTCTATCTGGGCCCATTGTTAGAAATGTTCACAAAATTCATGCACATTATGTTAAAGTGTCTTATTCGAGTCGACTGATTTGAGAGGTTTCTCTTCACCTTAAGCGTTTTTATCTCATTTGAGAACCAAGGGAAGTGATATTCTGGAGTGAATTCTAGGCGAGCCCCGTATTCTTAAATTTGACCCATCCTGTAATTAATCGTGCTCAATTCGAGGAATTAATTTCAATGTCTCCTTTCTTAACCTTCGTCTCTCTCCCTTCTTCCGTGGGCTGCATCGCGCAATATCCAATCGCGGAGGTTAGGTTCATTCCTTTTGCCCCCGTCTTGGTGTTCTCGCCTTGGCGGATGCATGAATGAAAGCGAATTGCCGTCATCTTGCGCGTGAATGACCGACGAGTGTCGCGAGCGCGACACGGCACGGACATTTACGACCTTTCACGAGTTTAAACGAACGTTCGGCGAACCGCGAAGGTATAAATGTCAAGACGTCGAAACGCTTGACGTTTCCGTTTCTTAAGCCTCGACGACCGTGGACGTTAAACTTCTACGTAGATCTTGGTCTCACTACGTGTCGCCAATCGTTACCGTGCAAATGTCAAAAATGGGATCGATTAGGGTGGGAGTATTTACGTTTCTTTGTTTTTCTTATTTTTTTAGGGACGCGTTTAATTCTCAAAGAAATTAAGATAATATAGAAGTGACATCTCAGTGGTCGATCATTAACCTGTTAACCGTGTGTGACGAGTATACTCGTCATGAAAACTTACAGTCTTATATGAGTACAGGGTGAAGAAAAATATTATAATTTTACAACTTTTTTTATACAATTAAAATATAGTTCTTAACAATCCTCTGTATGATGAATTCGGTCGATTAAACGGTGCTTTCACGTTACGCCAAACCTCTATTTTCCGTTTAAGCCCATTGGAGACATTGGCAATAACGTGTACGCATTGTTTAGGGATTATATGAATGTATATCGTTTGGAGCAATTTATCAAAGGCGATGTTAGCGTAATCTAAAGTTTAACATTTATTCGTAATTTCCAGCTGCCTTGCCGAGCGGGTCCCCAGAGCACGCATTCCCGCATGAACGAGGAGAAAAATAAAAAATGTCTCATCCAAATATCCCGATACCGTTTCTCCCTGGTGATATCCGGCCTGACGAAAATGCTGCAGCGGGTCAACGAGTTGATTCCCTGTACCGGCGGTCAGCGTTCCTTTCATTGCACCGACCAGGACCGTCATTGTTACGAGTCCATTGTCATCGTCCTCGACACCCTGGAGCGGTGCTTGAGCAACCAGCCCAAAGACACGACCAAATTCGACGAGGCTATGAATGTCAAGTTACTGCTCAGAGAGATCTGCCAGTTTATCGGTAAGCGCGTAAGGTCGATCCGATATTTTCATCCGTCTTATCCGTTCTTTAAGGGGATGTGAAAGTGGCACTGATTTCCAAGTGGACGGCCCCTTGGAGGAATGCTTTCAAATGTTGATCAGATTTCTCGGTTAACGGGAGCTTTTCCACAGATATATCTAACGATGGCCCTCAACATGCTCATCTCAAGAATCTAGCGAGTAAGGTTCTCTTCGCTTTGAGTCTAAACTTTTTCAACGCCGTGTTCAACCGGATCTCGGCTCGTCTTCAGGAATTGTCAGTCTGCAGCGACGAAAATCCGGATTACGGGGACATCGAACTGATTCAGCATATCAACGTGGACGTTCACCGACTTACAAGGCTATTAAACGGTAATTGTTGTTTTCTACGTGTACGCTGGAATCTTGCGGTTATTAAATTTTATATCTTTATGAAATTGCCTAAATGTCGTTTACTCTTGCAGAGACTATACAAAAGTTTCGACAGTTGAAGAAGTCGGCGCACCTCGTTTTGGCGAATTCCTTGGAAAAAGCGATTTGGAATTGGATGGACACGTATCCCCAGGAATTCGCGGATCTTCAGAAACGGCCTAATGAGGATTTAGGGAAAGCATGTGGCGAGCTTTTCGATATTCTGGACACATTTGCAGACAACAAAAAGGGACGAGCCGCGGTTATTTGGCCTCTACAAATTATGCTCCTGATTTTATCTCCTAAAGTTCTGGAGGAAATCGTTAACGCGGATTCTGGGGCACCGTGCTCCCCTAAACATTCGAAGAAGAAGCAATTTATTGACAGCGTGAAGCGGGGCCTAGGAGTTCACGGTAGTTCCAGCAGGCAACTCGCAGAAGCTGCAGCTGTCACCTGCGTAAAGCTTTGCAAAGCTTCCACATATATAAACAACTTAGATTCCAACAATGTGATTTTCGCCCTTGTGCAACACGTTATAAACGACCTAACCGCGTTGCTCTTCAACCCCTGCAAGCCTTTTTCCAGGGGTCAGAGCTACGTCGCCCAAGACACCGACCTAATGATAGACTGTTTTGTCAGCTGTTTTCGCATCAAGCCTCACAACAACGAAGTACTTAAAGTTTGCCTCAATTTGAACTCACCCTCTACGTATCAATTTGTACTTGTTAGCTCGTTATACAGGTAAGCACCGATTCAACGCAGTATTTTCAACTAAAGTTGATTTAAAGAGAAGTGAAACTGAACCTGAAACCGAACTGTCCTTAACTTTGACATATCACTTATGAGCACTTCCATGTGTACTCTACATTTATTAACATTACAGTAAATTAAATTGAATATGAATACTTGTGGGGGAGTGGATAGGCATTTTGTATTTGGATTGGAATTATCACATATTAATTTTCAGAATCGTTACGCAACCAAGACTGTCCTGGTGGCCTCAAATAGACCTCGTGTACTCTCGCAGTGCAGAGTTGCGAAGTATGTTCACGGATACTTTGAATAAAGTTACGCAAAGTTATATATCACCGACGCCGTTACGAATGATTCAAAGTTTAACACTCAAAGGTAAAGAGCAGAGCAAGTACCGCGATCGGGGAGAGGAGGTTTCTAGTTATAGGAATCTGCTCCTGTGGATGGTACGGCTAATACATGCTGATCCGATGTTAATGTTGAACGTAAGTTCTTTGTTGCGTATTTTGCTACTCATTTCGGAAATACTTGCATTTGATGTACCAATTGTTCTCTAATGTATTTTATGTGTTTTTAGAATCAAGGGAAAGCAGGACATGAGATCCAGAGTTCAACTTTAGAACTGATCAATGGATTGGTATCTCTGGTGCATCAACCGACCATGCCAGATATCGCACACGAAGCGATGGAGGCTTTACTGGTGCTCCACCATCCAGATAAAATTAGAGTTTGGAATCCAGAAGCTCCTATCAATACGTTTTGGGACGTTAGCTCCCAAGTGTTGTTCTCGATATCGCAGAAATTAATTCAGCATCAGATAGTTAATTATACAGATATTTTGAAGTGGCTCCGAGAGATCCTCATGCGTAGAAATGCATTTCTTTCGCAGAACAAAGATTATGCTAATGTAGGCAGTCAAATCGCCATCTGCAAGCAAGCACATATTAAGCTTGAGGTATGTCTAGTGTGTATTTAATGTAAAGGAAACACTAATATCCGATTCCACCAACCTCGGTCAAAAAGCTAATGGAAAAATCTTTAAACATTCTTTAATGCTTTTGAGAGTACATTTTTAATTTGTTCCTTGCTTGTAGATCTTATACGTGTATGTTGTTAATTTTTTGTTATCAAAACTGTAAATATAGGTAGTGTTCTTCATGTACCTGTGGAGTATCGACATGGAGGCCGTTCTAGTCGCAATGTCTTGCTTTGCTCTTCTTTGCGAGGAGGCTGAAATCCGCTGTGGGAGCGACGAGGTTGCTGTAACTTGTCTGCTTCCTAATTACCATCTATATGTCGAATTGGCTCAAGCTTCGACAGTATTAACAACTGGTAAGTGATTTTTCACTTTTGTCGACCTCTGTTGCTCTCGGTTTGTGTCTCGACATGGGGATGATAATCGAGAAACAGAGAAATTGAGAATGACGTACTATCGAGTCATGTTGGGTGTAAAAATTCTCTTTCCACAACAGCCAGCGGTGAAAGTAGGATTTGTTATCACGAGCACAATCATGGTAAGTTGCGTAGACAGAGAAGTAAATCAGGAGAATAGTTCAGGAATGAAGTGCGAAAAGTTCTGTTAGTAACACGTCGGTTATAATGAAATCTACAAAAAGTAGCCCATTGTGGTGTCCGCATTAACGGCCTAACTTTTAGGACGTGCAGCACTGCAAAAAAGGATCATGGCGTTGCTTAGAAAGATAGAGCACTGCGTGAACGGTGTCCAACCCGTAGGTATCTTCTCAAATTTCTGATATTTCAATTTTTTGTTCTTTATAAATTACTGTAAGGGAAAGTTGTCTTGTTATCAGTGAAAATGTAAATCTGCTATTAAAGACACAGTATATGTATTGTAGATTAATTTGTGTGAAGTACTTTCGCGCATTGAAATGGTATGAAGTTTGATACGACTTTTAGAACAGGTAATAGAATTTGATATGCAAAATTTCAACGTTTTTTTAAACGTGAATTACATCATAAACCGGCTATTTATTATATCATTCAATTTTTTAATTCAGAATTTATTGGCTTTCAATCTTCCTCCATGTGTTTCCGTTTGAAATAGATTTTTAAATTCAAAGACTGTGGATAACTTGAATTTTGGATTTTTTTTTTATCTCTTCTGGAAAGAGCATCTGAAACTTCACGTCACTTTAATGCCGATAAGACACGGAACAAAGTAATAACGATTCGTTTTTATCAGGCTTGGGAAGAAACGTTCAGAAACTGGGAGTCCACCTCGCGGCAGCTGTCGAATTATCCAAAGACAAAGGCCGAAGATGGACAATTGGAATCCTTTCATCGTATCACTGGGAAACGTAGAGCATCGCATCAGAACTCGGAACATGAATTGGAAGAGCAAATTAATGAGTGGGCGAACATGACGGGATTTTTGTGTTCTCTCGGAGGCGTTTGCCTTCAAAGACGATCTTCGGGAAGACCCATATCGGGTACATTGACAAATCCCGAGCCCAAGAAAAGCTCGACGAAACAAGATTCTCCAGCCTGTTTAACCAACCCTAGCCAAGATGTCCAGTATTGTCCAGTCACCCAGTTCGTTTTCAATCTCTTACGACTTTTGATATGTAATAACGAAAAGTTTGGAGCACAAATTCATAAACACGTGAAAGAGTTGGTCGGACACGAAATGAGCCCAGCTCTTTATCCTATACTCTTTGACCAAATTAAGAGCATTGTTGAGAAGTTTTTTGATCAGCAAGGCCAAGTGATCGTTACTGATGTAAACACGCAATTTATAGAACATACGATATTCATAATGAAAAATGTCTTGGATTCGAAAACAGATCAGCCATCCGAGTATCTCGGGATGACTAGCATTGAAGGAATGATGCTGGCTATTGTCAGATATGTACGACATCTTGACATGACAGTACACGCGATACATATCAAGACTAAGCTTTGTCAGTTGGTGGAAGCAATGATGAAGAGACGAGATGACTTGGCATTTCGACAGGAAATGAAATTTAGAAATAAATTAGTGGAGTACCTCACGGATTGGGTAATGGGCGCAACACATCAAATTGCGCCATCAAGTGTTGAAGATGTTACAATAATTACTAGGTAAGACGCATTTGAATGGACTCTGTTTTTAAATCTGCCAATGTTACCGTTACTAATCAAACAAGCAGTTACTAATCAACAAGTAGCAATTTTCCACGACATTCCTTAAATATTCCTTGAAAGAATTTAAACTTATATGTCATATCCCATTTGACATTTCAATTATTGTAAATTTAAGATTAGAAGATTTCCTATAATTTTACATCGTAGCCGGAAGAGTGTAAGAAAGAAGTATTTATTTTTAAAAAAGAGTCCTGCTTTTTCGTTGTGAAGTTTTTCTCAATTCTGGGAGAGTAGGACTCTTGCGTACTTTGCGTAAAGTCCACGTACTCTAGTGTGTATTCTAGGGACCTGGATCAGGCCTGTATGGAAGCAGTTGGAGCATTATTACGTGGACTACCTCTGCAACCAGAAGAATCGGATCGTGGTGATCTAATGGACGCAAAATCGCAGCTTTTCCTAAAATATTTTACCTTGTTCATGAATCTACTCAATGACTGTAATGATGCCGCGACCGAAGAGAAGGACGTTGTTTCCAGGCAGCGATTCACGACTGGGAAGCTCTCCACCTTAAGGAACGCTACTATCCAAGCGATGAGTAATTTACTCAGCGCAAACATAGACAGTGGCTTAATGCATTCAATCGGTAGTTGGAAAAATTTCAATTATGATTCTATGTACTTCCCATGGACGTATAATATATGGGCCGTGCATCGCTGACAGAACGGTGAGAGAACGAGAATTGTCTATCCCTTGTCTGCGCTGCACACACGAAAAATGCATGATCTAGTTGACAAGAACATCTTTTGTTCAAATCAGCACGTTAAAACCTAGATTTATACGTCTGTAATCCACATGGGAACTGAGGAAATAATTTGCAATAAGAACAAAATTGTTCTATTTATACTGCAAAAACGACAAATGATTAATTACTTTTCAATTTAAAACAATTTTTATATACATGGCTTCCTTTCAAACATAGGGGGTGAGCAGTCCATGTATTATACGTCCATGGTACTTCCTTGTACAAAATGTATCTTCTTTAATGTTATTAATTATCGGTTTTATTAGATCTCGGCTATAACCGCGACCTGCAGACACGTGCAGCTTTTATGGAAGTGCTGACTAAAATTCTCCAACAAGGAACAGAATTTGACACACTGGCGGAAACTGTTTTAGCTGACAGATTTGAACAACTTGTTCAGTTAGTTACTATGATCAGTGATAAAGGCGAATTGCCTATAGCGATGGCCCTGGCTAATGTCGTCACGACCAATCAGATGGACGAGCTGGCAAGAGTCTTCGTTACGCTTTTTGATGCCAAGCATTTATTATCGCCTTTATTATGGAACATGTTTTACCGTGAGGTGGAGGTCTCAGATTGTATGCAAACACTGTTTAGGGGTAATAGTCTTGGCAGTAAAATAATGGCTTTTTGCTTTAAAATATACGGTGCCAGTTACTTACAAGGATTGCTAGAACCTCTTATCAGACCTCTTTTGGATGATCCAATGACGAGCTTTGAAGTTGACAGTGCAAGAATCGATGCAAATGAAGATATAGAACGGAACGGTCGGAATTTGATCGCTCTTACTCAAAAAGTTTTCGATTCCATCGTCTCTTCGGCGGATAGGTGAGTTGATGCGTTTTGGTTAAAAGCTATGTTAGATAATGTCAGTCTTCCTTTTTTATTTTCTTTTTCTAGATTTCCACCGCAATTGAGATCGATGTGTCACTGTCTCTATCAAGTGCTAAGCAAAAGATTTCCCCAGTGTCCTCAAAACAATATCGGTGCAGTTGGAACTGTGATATTTCTGCGTTTCATTAATCCGGCCATTGTCTCACCCCAAGAAATGGGAATCGTGAATAAGCAGGTACCTCCTCAAGTGAAAAGAGGACTTATGTTAATGTCCAAGATTCTGCAAAATATTGCTAATCACGTGGAATTTAGCAAGGAGCAGCACATGCTGCCTTTCAACGATTTCCTCAGAGCTCACTTTGAGATTGGTCGAAGATTTTTTATTCAAATAGCATCCGACTGCGAGACTGTCGACCAAGCGAATCACCCGATGTCTTTCATATCGGATGCCAATGTTTTGGCTTTACATAGACTGCTGTGGAATCACCAGGAACGAATTGGAGACTATCTGAGTAGTAGCAGGGACCATAAAGCTGTGGGTAGGCGGCCTTTTGATAAAATGGCCACTTTGTTGGCTTATTTAGGACCTCCTGAGCACAAACCAATCGACTCGCAGTAAGTAAAAAAATATATATATATAAAATAAATAAGGAAATAAAAATAGACGGAAAGTTTGCCATCAGTATTTCCTGGTGCACATTCATTCCACGAATTGATTCTTTTTAGTCTACTGTTTTCATCATCTTACGCTCGGTGGTCCAGCATCGATATGTCTTCTACTAACTTTGAGGAGATAATGGTGAAGCATAATATGCACGAGAAAGAGGAATTCAAAAGTATCAAGACACTTAATATTTTTTATCAAGCGGGAACAAGTAAGCAAGGCTATCCGGTATTTTATTACATCGCTAGGCGTTATAAGTAAGTAGTCTCTGAAGTATTTTTATTTAATACCCACTCTTCGCGTACACTTTCCGAGGAAAATAAACGTCTTGTTATTTCTTAATTTTCAGAATCGGGGAGACAAATGGCGATTTGTTAATATATCACGTAATCTTGACCTTGAAACCATTTTGTCATTCGCCATTTGAGCTCGTGGTTGACTTTACCCACACATGTTCGGATAACCGCTTCAGAACAGAGTTCCTGCAAAAATGGTTCTACGTTTTACCTGAGGTTGCTTACGAAAACATTCACGCAGCTTACATATATAACTGTAATAGTTGGGTGCGGGAGTACACCAAATTTCATGATAGAATATTAGCACCCTTGAAAGGTAATCGTAAGGTAGTTTTCATCGAGGGTCCAGGTCGACTGAACGACGTGATCGACGTCGAGCAACAAAAATTGCCGGGAGCAACGTTGTCTCTCGATGAAGATCTTAAAGTTTTTACCAGTGCTTTGAAGCTCTCGCACAAGGACACCAAGATATCCGTCAAGGTGGGCCCAACTGCGATTCAAATCACTTCTGCGGAGAAATGTAAGGTGCTCTCCCATTCTGTACTTCTGAACGACGTATATTACGCCTCCGAAGTCGAAGAAGTATGCCTAGTAGACGATAACCAATTTACATTAACCATTTCCAACGAGGCTGGCCCATTGTCGTTTATCCACAACGACTGCGATAGTATCGTCCAGGCCATTATCCATATCAGGAACAGGTGGGAACTGTCGCAGCCGGATTCCATGTCTGTCCATCCGAAGATTAGGCCTAAAGATGTTCCTGGTACCCTCCTAAACATGGCCCTGCTGAATCTTGGCAGTTCGGATCCTAATCTTCGCACGGCGGCGTATAATCAGCTGTGTGCCTTGACAGCAACCTTCGACCTCAAGATAGAGGGCCAATTGCTAGAAACCTCAGGCTTGTGCATTCCTTCAAACAACACGATCTTTATTAAACATCTTAGCGAGACATTAGCTGCTAACGATCCTCATTTGACTTTAGAATTCCTAGAGGAGTGCATTCAAGGTTTTCGAGTATCTACCATTGAGCTGAAACATCTCTGCTTGGAATACATGACCCCCTGGTTGAACAATCTTGTACGCTTTTATAAACCTAACGACGAAGGTGGGAAACGCCAGAAACAAGTCACTCAGATACTGGAAAAGCTGATCACTTTGACAATCGAGGAAGTTGAAATGTATCCGAGTATACAGGCGAAGATTTGGAGTACCATAGGTAGATTGCCAGATCTTATAGACATTGTCTTGGACAATTTTATCCACAGAAGCGTGCGTTATGGATTAGGATCGCCGATGGTGGAGATCATGGCTGATACTGCGGTTGCCTTAGCTTCTGGAAATGTACAGCTCGTCGCAAAGAAGGTCATTGGTCGCCTTTGCAGAGTCGTTGACAAGACTTGCACGTCTCCCACGCCTCTTTTGGAGCAGCACATGATGTGGGATGACATCGCTATCTTGGCGCGGTACTTGCTGATGTTGTCTTTCAATAATTGCCTAGACGTGGGGAAACATCTGCCTTATTTGTTTCATACCGTCACGTTTCTCGTTTGCTCTGGGAGCCTAAGTATGCGAGCTTCCACTCACGGCCTCGTAATTAATATCATCCACTCTTTATGTACCTGCAATTCACCTTCCTTCTCGGAAGACACCTACAGAGTTCTCAGGATGAGCCTGGATGAATTCTCTCTGCCGAAATTTTATTTGTTATTTGGGATCAGCAAGGTTAAATCGGCTGCTGTAACTGCCTTCAGATCGAGCTATAGACATACTAATGAGAAGTGGTTTGGAAATGAACGTAACGTTGGAGCAAGCCAGGACAGAGAGAGACTTGCTCTTACCAGTCTAGAAGTTATTACCGATGCGTTACTGGAAATTATGGAGGCTTGTATGAGGGACATTCCTAAGTGCGATTGGTTGAAAACCTGGACGTCACTTGCAAAGAGTTTTGCTTTTTGCTTCAATCCTTCCCTACAACCTAGGGCTCTTATTGTTTTTGGATGTATCAGTAAAAGCATCACGGACCAAGATGTTAAGCAACTTTTGAGGATTCTAGTCAAAGCTCTTGAGAGCTTTAATGATATTACGCTTTTGGAAGCCATCGTTATGTGTTTGACTCGTTTGCAACCACTTCTTAGGCCTGTAAGTGTTCTTTGATATTGTTACATTTTTTCATGTGGAATTTTTTCCTAATACAAAATTTGTAAAGATAAATTAACTTTATTTCTATCGCATAAAGATATAAGCTTTATAACAAACATAGAAATATTTAAAACATTCTATCAGGATTAAAATGTATAATGTTGTTTGTTTTTTTTGCATTTGCAGGAATCTTTAATACACCGATACTTATTCTGGGTAGCTACTTCGGTACTCCAACTTGACGAAGCATCTCTTTATGCCTCCGGATTGGCTTTACTCGAACAAAACTTACATACTCTCGATTCCCAGGGCACATTTGACGATAAGGTGAGAAAATATCAATGTTACTTGGTAAAACATCATCTTAAAAAAAATTAGAGATCTTTGTATGTAAAGGATACAAAGTCAAAGATCATGAGCTGGTCAGTAGATATTAACATTTACTGTTCATCCTTTCAGACCCTCGAACGGGTAATGATGTCGACAAGAGAACCTTTGGAATGGCACTTTAAACAACTGGACAATGCCGTTGGACTCTCTTTTAAGTCGAATTTCCATTTTGCTTTGGTGGGCCATCTTCTAAAGGGTTATCGTCATCCTACACCGACCACTGTAACCAGGACGGCAAGAGTCCTGACGATGTTGTTAGCCATCGTCGCGAAACCTTTTAGACGGGATAAATTCGAAGTGACTCCTGAAAGCGTCGCATATCTTGCAGGTAATTTCTATTGAACACCAGCATCCTTATATTTTATCTCGTGTCATAATTATGTAACGTGTTAACAAATAATGCTAGTGTCAATTACAATTTACTCCGCGTAACTGTCAGCAATTACTAATAGTAACTACCCAGATAAAAATTCATGATCATATAATGAAGAAAAATCGATTTACAAACAATTCGCAGACCATTTACTGTATAAGATGTCTGCAATATATGTACGCATATTACACAATAGATTTGAACAAAAATTTCCGATAAATTTGTTACATCATGGCTTATAAATATGAGCTACAGAAGTTGCAATTGTTTATCAGCGATTGCAAGAAGTGTCGCTAGTTACTTGCAAGTGGAGCTATTATAAATTCTTATATTATAACATATTACGTTTTTACAGCTCTGGTGTCAGTATCGGAAGAAGTTAGAAGCAGGTGTCACATCAGACACTCCATTGGCAGAAATTCTGCTGATTCTGGAAGTACCGATTTTCTAGACACATTGTCGCCGCCACAAAGTTCCGTAAGTAAGGCGAAACTTTTCCATAAAAATGAACCTAGATTGTCGGGGCAAAGAAATGTGCGAATGCGCCAAGTTTGGTAACGAAGATTAACGAAGAATTATGTCCCAGGAATCGTCCAGTGGCACAGTCAATCCAACAAGTCGAAGACAAAAGTCCTGGGACCTTCTAGACCAGTCGGCAATCGTCCAAGCCAGACAGCAAAAACAACACGCACCTCATCCGGTAATATATCTTGTATTCGTCGTACAAATTTTAAACCGGGTGTTATCATTTTATCGATCGCGTAAATATTTTGTTCTTTTTTTCTTTTCTGTCTGCTTCCGTGTCTATTTTACATTAGTTTCGTCCTCATCTTCTGAGATCGTTACTTTGCATTTGTGCACTTTGGGTGCACTGTAATTTTCGTCGCGGCAGCCACTGCTTATTTCTTTTCCGAGTATTAGATCTATTCCCAAAAAGCTATTTAAAAGAAGTAGAAGTTTAAAATCCAGACGTTTTGTATCGTGTTCGCAATTGTTACATCTTATCTGTCCTGACCGTTTAAATCAGAAGTTGCAACTGAAAGAGTAAGCCGATACGTATCCGAATTTTAGTTCATCAACGTCGATTAAGTTTCTCGGGGCCTTTCATATCACCTTAAGTATATTTAAAGAGTTGTGGCTGTTCGCGATAATGTTTGTTGACTTTCGGAAAATGGCACGCATGTTTTCTAGCGAATAAAGGCTGAGGGTTCGCGTATAATCCAAGTTCGTATTCCTCTCTGTTTCTCTGTGTGTGAACTCGGTGTGTGCCTGCCTGTGCCTGGCTGGGTCTTAAAATTCCAAACTTCGCGACTAACGTCATACCCCGAAAACTCGACCTTCGAACGGCGTCACTAACAAGACGGGCCGGAATTTATTTAAAACCCAGAGGTCCTTCTCCGTGCCGACCGCTAAGGAGACCAAAGCGGATGATGACTCGGAACCAAAGGTACTAACTTCTTCCATACTTCAGTAACGAATCATATTTTATCAGATCGGCATGGAACTAGGACAGTCGCTGGACATCTCAGGTGGCGGTCGATACGAGTTTTTCTTTGTTTTTGTCACTATTTCAAGCGTTCAAGTCTAGCGAGTAAGCAAATCTCACGACCTGGATATTAATCTCGCAATTTTGTACTTGGCAGAACCGTAGCTCTAGAGTAAGCGTCAGTAATGAGAACAACGTGCTGCTGGATCCTGAAGTCTTGACCGACTTCTCAACGCAAACGTTAGTTTTAACTGTGCTAGCGACACTCGTTAAATACTCCACGGACGAAGGCGAAACGCGAATTCTCTATCAGTACCTGGCTGAAGCTTCGGTCGTCTTTCCGAAGGTATTTCCGGTTATGTAAGTATGAATTTTTATTTTTCATAGAGTGAAGGTATATGTCGTGAAGTAATATAAGGAGATGTAACGCCTAAAGTGGGTTCTATGGAAAGTGGCCCTAGAATCAGGACCCAGGATCTCAGATTTTCGCTGGTCTAACGATGCGAGCGTTACTTACGGAAAATGAGGGAACTCCAGTCATACGTGGCCAAAACATTTCCTATCGATGTAAATGACCTAAAATGCTTTTAATTTTGTAATTAAGGTACGCAATGCGAAACGATAATCCGCGCATGATGTACAGAATGTGATGCTTTTAACGCGATAAAGACTAGGCGATAATTTTTAATTGCAAAATTTCATTGAGGAGGCGCTCTCGACACTAGATCAGAAAAAATCTGAAGATCTTTGACCCCTAAATAGAGTTTTAAACGCGGTAAGTACGGTATGTTTCGCAGTTACCTTCTGCAATTTTATGTTACCGAAAATGTTTGAATTCTATCCGTAAAGTGGGGGCGATTTCAATCCATGGCGCTGGCTCCTTATACTACCTCGTGGTATATGTAATCTCTTTCTGTTATGAAAAATTATGGATTATAATCCTGTATTCACTTTGTAGACATAATTTGCTGGACGCAAAAATCAACAGTGTACTTTCGTCTTGCCACGACCAAGTCATTTTAACTGCTGTGCAGAATATTATACAGAATATGATAGCTTGCGAGGACACGAGCCAGCAGCAACTGCACTACCTACAAAGTTGTGGTTTCGGAGGCCTATGGAGATTTGCTGGACCATATACGAAGGTAAAAATGCAGAACAATTTTTTAATAGAATCTGATAATCATTTTTCTCAAATGAAATATACTCTGGTTTTTATTTCAACGTAGCGGGACTCAACAATATTAGTTTTTGTTGCTGACTTTCATTTAACTCTTTCTATGGTTCTAGTGTAATTGTACTGCAGAGAGCGCTGAGCTTTTCGTCAACTGTTTAGAGGCTATGGTAGAAACTTGCTTGCCAGTTGAAGAATGCGATGTCAGCAACGAGCCTACTGTGGAAGGGTCAAAACGAGCGGATGGTAATCGGATGAGCTCTTCCTCGAGCGTAACTTCTTCTACTTCAAGCTCTACGGATTGCTCAGCTGCACCACATGTACACAATGAAGAAGGTGATAAGAACGGCAAAGGGAAAGACTCGTCGATTCTTCAAGATCAGAGCGAGTAAGTATAATTGTTTGGTTTCAACAAAGCGACGCAAAGACGCCAGATTTTAAGCAGTATCAGTAATTTCCGAGAAACTTTATTTCTAAACTTTATTTACCAGCCAAGCTGCTTATGTGTATTATTCGATATGCTTTTATTCATTTAGTTAAACCCTGTTTTCCGAATATGTAATCGTTAAGTTCAACATATCTATGTATAATTTATTTGTCGAGTTAATTTGATACATTTCTTTTCTGTTTAAAAGTATAGGACGCGAGGCACAGAGCCCAGGACAAGGAAGTCGAGTCGAAGGCGTAAGTCGTAGTAATGATGGTCGTGCACATCCCTAGCGGTTAGTCTGCCACTCTGGATGACGTCGTGGCGACCAGGAACCAGGATATGTCGGCCAGTCAATGCAGAGACCCTCGAGGTAATCTTGAATCCTAATTAGATCATTATAGTATGGCGAAGGTCGAGGGACTACTCACTCGGAAAGGAGTGAAAATGACTTCCTTATTTGAGAACTGTTCTCTGGTGGCACAAAATATTTGTGTTATATTTTCTATATAGTTAACGAATATAATTAAACGGTTACATTATTTTTCCATTTTACCGTAATGTCTCTTTTACTCATCAGGAATCCAACGGTCTTGGGTCCATGCTATTGCTGCTACATGTCCAGCCAGATCAACCCTGTACCGTCCACCTCCAACTAATGAGGCACGACGAAGGTATAAAAGGATGTCAGTACTGCAGAAACTTAACGGTTTTGCTTATCCGTGACGTAACTTTGATCCGAGGTATAAATACCGAAGACAAATGACTTGCTACTGTAAGAAGTTTGCTGCTTTGGAAGCTCTAAGGTCATACCGAAACCACGATGGAATGAATTCGGATATTTTTCGACTCGCTTCCTTGCACCAGATAGCAGGGAATACAGGCGGTCACATCGAAGTCCCGAGGGACAAGCTACATCCGATAAGAATATCGAAACACCGCGAGACTTATTCGACAGACAACGATCGAGCCTACGACTTGGCGCGCTTCTCGCTTCGCGCTTTCGGAGCGAGTACTTGGGGCCCTTCGTAAGCTAATCACCATTTAATCGGTTATTTCCTATTTAGAAAAGTACAAAGTGAGATCACGCCTGTGACCCTGATCCTGCAGCCATCTACAGATAGATGTAGCTACTTGTAGAACGATTGCGACGTCATGCAAGCCGGTTATGTCGTTACAAAGCTCAATTTATTTCTCTTGCTATGTATTATTTGTAATTTAAAGTTTAATCGTCGGTGGAGCTCCGCAATGAGCGATCCGCTGTTAAAAGCGGCCTCGTATTCGATCCGGCTAACATTTTGTACGGTACCGTGGATCGGTAAAACAATTGTTAGACAATGTCCACCTGCTGCGGGCGGCGTGTACTCGGATGATTGTAAAGTCGCAAGATAGTCACAAAGGAATTGAACAAACGGACTTTTCCTTTGGTTTCTTTCGCTTTGATGGAAGGATTTGATAGAGTGATGTACAGTCTGAATGGAACCGGTGAAATTCAGAATACAACGTGTACATCTACGAATGTATAGATAGACGTATAGACTGCTTGGAAGGGCGGACCAAAAATATGCTATAGAAATGTGGATCGCTTAATTTAAATCGTTTTGCACTTTATTTTCTAAGGAAAGTCGGTACCGATCTGTCAAATTCTTCTATCTGGAAGAGAGTTCATGATACATATATATCTAACGAATAAATTTAATAGATTCTTTATCATTGTGAATGTTTTGAGGATGTTTAGAACTTTAAATAAAAGTTTAATAAATGTTTTAAAGCGATGTGGAACCGTAGATAAAAATGTTCTTTTAAAAATCAGTTTGGGAAACATCTTTCGGAACGGAACTTGAGAGAGTTAAGGAATTCCGTAATTCAGAATTAGCGGAAATTCTGATAAGGAATAGTCGAGCCATTGCGCTGTAACGTTAATAGTAGAATGGCCGTGCGCACAATGACGATAGTAGTAAATGGGGGATAAATAATCTGCGAGCATATTTGAATATTTTCTTGCCACCTAAAATCTAATATTTAAGATTACCACCATAGTATCGATCATAGCTGATATATTGATTCGTTCATATGTCACTGCGGAGAGACTAACGTAAATGTTGATCTCCATAATACAATTCTCAGGTACCTTTGTCTTTAGACCAAATTTTAGGAATTAAAAGAAAAAGGAAGAAATCGTTTGTTCAAATATTCTCGAGACAATGCGACACAGACCATTATATTGTATGGAATTATCCTGGAAAGATATACCTCAAAAGCCGAAGTTTTGTTAAGTGAACTGCATACGCGATCCTTCGTTTTAAAGTGGCACTATATTTGTATTTTTACAGGTGTGAATAATAGTCCAGTCGATGAATGCGAATCTGTCGGGAGCATGTGTTGCATTTGAAGGTACTTGTAAATATATATATTTCTGACGTAGACATTCGTACTAGAATTACGTACGGATGATTTTGTAAGTGCGTATGCGAAATCGATCACAGTAATGCTCCTTCACATCAACGTCGACGTGTGTGAAATTCTTTGTAATATGTCAGATTGCTTTTACTAGTCCGATGATATACGAAAAATAGTAACCATGATTCTTTGGTTTTGATCATTCCGCGCTTTTGAGTTACCAGTGTGATAGATTGTTACGTTAAAATTGGCGAATTTTTTCTTAGCCGTGGATAGATTATTTAGAATTAATTCAACTTTTAAAACCCATGAGATCGACTACATCATACGTCTGTCTAATTTGTTCGTAATGAATATCTGAAATACCTATCATTTCATGAACGTGTCAATATACTTTTAAGGGGATATGAAAGGGTTATTCTATATATATGAAACGTCAAAATATTTATAAACCTTCTCCAAACTGAGTGGGCCAAATCATTTGAAACTTCAGCACATGATTGTGAAGGCCTTAAGGAAGAACGTTGTGCTTATAAAATTTTATTGAAAAAGAATTATATGTATTGGTTCTAGTCTGGGATAAACAAAAACAATTTTTTATTAAAAATGAAATGTCATAAGCACCAAGTTCTTTCTCCTCCATAATCGCGTGCTGTAGTTTCCAACGAATCGGTGCATCCAGTTTGGAAAAGAGTTTAATAAATATTTCTACATTTTATATATATATAGAATGACCCTTTCATATCACCTTAAATACCTTTGACATTCTAAGATCTATTCATGGCTATTTGAATACGGAGCAATGTCAGATTTATTTAATATTCATTCTATGCAAAAACTGAATGCTATGAAAACTGCACACAGGGAAAATAAATAATAACACGTATCATACACAACAAGAACTCATTCCTGACTGGTCTTTGGTGAAGACGTCTACATGTACCAAATAATGTAAAATGTAGGAATTATTAACAAGGTACACAGGAAAACGACCCAGGCATTTCACCCTACTGGACAATGTATTGTAAAATTATTTATAACACGTGATAATCGACAATACTCTACAGAACTCCGTATCATTGAATAAGTGCAATTGATCGTAAAATTAAGTTTTCTTTCAAAGATTCATGCTTAGAAGTTCATTCACCTCGAATGAAAGCGGAGGAAGAAAACCCGGATTAAAGGAAAATTTGCCGATAAATTTTTATCTTCTAGAACTACGAAATTCCTTTTGTTTTATCTTCCTGTTTTTACCGGAGATCAATCTGGCGCAATCTATATATTCCTATGTTCAGGCTCATCGAAATTACTCTGTAAAATTATAATTATTAATTCTATTCCGTTTTTATCTGAAACACGTATATCGGTCACTCAGGGGATGTGGGCGCGAATTTTGAAAATACGTATGTAACCTTGTCTACTCATCTACTCATACTCACAGGACACAAATCGTCTAAGGACTCACCTCTTTAAGTAAATCATCGGGAGCGATTGTCATACAAATGTATAGTAACTACTTGTCAGATGTATATACGTCAATATATTGTATGTACAAACGTATAACCCAGAAGAAAACATTGCACGCACGTATTTGTACGGAAGCACTTGCGTGCAGATGTCAGAACGGTACATGCCCGCTTGCTAAATTCGCTTTGTATTTGGATTCTTAATTATATCGTAAATCCCCCAAAAATCGTAAACACGGGGACGCGAAGAACGTAAATCATCCACCGTATCTCATATGTTTTTTTAGGGTAAGTCATTGAGGTGTAAAAAGTCGAAGGTAACTATTCTGACGGTCTGAATGCGTGCGTACCCTTAAGAATTAAGAGAATGTCGAGTTTATCTACTTGTAGTTTAACGTAGCGAGGTACGATTAGACTTGTACAGACCTTGTACATTTGTGTATATCGAGTAAACGAAGTGTCCTCTGCAACATGTATTTATTGAAACTTTCTTCCGAATCCTGGGTAGTGAATAGTACCCGGAATATGTGACAATGCTGACTGAATTCAATTTTACCTTCGTTTCATTTTCAATCATTCAAATATCTTACGTGGTAAACGTATTTTAAGTATGTGGAATAATTTCCGATAATGCATGAATCTTCGGGAGTGAGTTTAGAGAACTTTTTATTCAGTTTTCATTTAATTCAGGTTTTAATTCGTATTAATTTAGCTGATTCTCAGTTAATGTGTACTTTTTTCCGTGCACGGTGCATCGTTGTGAAAAATATTTGAGAAATATCAAGCTGATAAGGTGATTCGTATTCGAGATGTTCTAAAGAAAAGAACGTCGATAGAATTCGAAGCAGGGCAGTGGTGGATGCAAGGAAATCGATTTTGTTCATTTAAATGAATTTATTTGATTTCAGACACACGTGCAATCGGGATATTTTAGTAGGCATTTTTCAAGGACCTGTTATAGTATCAGAACGGATCGTAATCGTACAAGAGAATAACGCTTTTATTGATAGTTGATTCGAAGTCATCTTGATACCGAAAAGGTCTATTACCATGCATTGAGTTGCATGGTAATAAATCTTTATTGTTGCATCGGGTAACGTTCACATCTTAAATTCAGAAGAAAAAAAATGGTTCACTGCTAATCGCTCGATAATTTGTAAGTTTTAGGTAAACTCAAGATCATCGGGCAAGGAAAGATGTTCGAATAATGAAAACGTTTCCAAGTATAATTACGAGGTGTCTAAAAGAATGTGAATCATTTTTTAAATTGAATTCCTGGGACCTCTCTATCTTCTCTTTGGCGATTTCGAGCGCACAAATAATGTTCCCCATGTGGTGAATTAATACCAGAATTATGTTCATCGACGTAAAGATTAAATCTGTACGGAATGGAAGAAGCTGGAGATGGCGACGTTTTGGCTGATTTTCAAAAACCTGGGTTTTCGTCCGTCCAAGAAATACTATTGTCAATCCACGCAATTTTGCCAGCAGTTTAGAGGTCCATGGTAGTCCGTCAAAAAGTATATCAGCAGAGTAAATGAACTTTCCGCAATGTTTCAGGGTACGCATTTAATTAAAATCGATTTCTCTTTACACACCCTGCTTCATAGTAGCAAATGAAGATAATCATACATGTACATTGAACAGCTGATGGTGATTAAAAATTCGTCGATCGAAAGGTTCAAACAGGATCGATGGAATCGATTATCGTTCTTGCGAACGGATTTGACCGTGGTCGAACAATCGAGCAGAAGGTTCCAACTCGATACGATTTCGGATGATTACGAGATGTAGACTGAAAGTACGGAAAACGCATAACTCTTCCGTGTAGTAACATTAATATCAATGAGATAAACGAGATTCACTCCAAGCATCCATTTCGCGTCCATCATCTCTTCTCTCGAGCCAACGCATAGGACCAATGAATATTCGAGGAATACATCTTTAATCGATATAGAACACATCCCAATCACTCGGAGGATCGATCGACGGTTCGGCGATCGAACGGCCTTTTGCGATCGACCGATCCACCGATAGTTTTACATACGCATAAGTACATCATTAGATTAGCTAAGACGGTAGAAGGTTCGAAGCGATTAAAAAATATGTCGAAGGCCAAAGGCCCAAGCTCTCTTACTCTGGCATCCTCGCACTCTCTCTCTCCCATTTTCTCGGTTAATTCACTCGGCGACTCAATCGATATCTTTTATGTACTTACTCCTAATTTATTTCCGTCAATTTACAATGAATTAGTCGACTAACCATCGGCCCGGCGAATCGCGACCTGCGACCCGAGTAATCGATGGATAATTATTAACACCGATGACACCTATATCTTATATTTCCTTCGCGCACGTTCTCTCTCTTTCTCTCTCTCTCTCCCATTCTCTCGCCCCATCTCTGTTATATCGGTAAACGGAATGGACTCTGAAAAACATTTACTAAGTTCTCGACTTTTATTATTGATTCACTTGTTGAGGCCGATAAAACGAAAAAAACATTTATATATATAGACATCAGTTATTATATCAACGACTTCATCTATACCCTGTGCATCATCTTAATGTCTCGACACATTCTATATGTGATTATTCGATACATGTTACTCGAGTAGTAGCTATTTCAATATAATATTTATACATTATATTTATATATATATCTGTATATATATATTTATATTTATAATTATGTATAATCATGCCGATGCGTCATTTTACAGCGTTAATAGCGACAGAGGAGCTTTCGCGATGCTTCGCATCGACCGACGACGTTTAAAAAGTGTGGGTGAAATGCAATAGAATAGAATCTTGATGCAACGTAACGTAACGTAACGCAATGCAACTCGAGATTATCATTACGATATTGCAATATATATATATATAAATATTTATATATATCATTTGTTTGTATGCTAGCAATAATGGACAGTAACGATAAATAATAGTAGCCTTCGACGACGGCGACGACGAGTTTCGTTCGGACGAGAGGGCTAGCACGACGTCGACAGTAAATTGGATCTTATTGACAACGATACTGACAATGATAGTAACAATGACGGCACAGTGACACTCGTAATGGTAACGGTATCCCGTTCGATTATAAAACGTGGTAACGCGTTGGACGATCCCAACGAACCAACGGGAAGTGCAGGTGAACTCTTTCAATTCTTAGCCTAAAGTCGAAATTTCCTTAATTAACGTATTGCCTACAGAAATCAGTAGCATTGGTTACGGGCTTCGATTACGCCAGCAAACCCGACCGATACGCGAGAATTAGTCTATTCTGAGAACCTCGAAAATCTGGGATAAATCCACAGGTACGTAGTCGGCCATTTTACGCGATTAATTGGCGAAGACAATGTTACGGGAAGCCTCGGGAACTAACAAGGATCTTGTTAATTGAAACTCAACAATCATTTTGTGGACTCCCTTCCGAGAATGAGATCTCACGATGGGGCCAAAATTTAACTCTTTTTCGTAAAATACGATATTGGCAGTTTGTTACGGAATGGTATTTAAAATGAAGTAATTCTGATTTTTTGGTGTACTCAAAATGCTCCATCGAGGGAAAGAAATTAAATTAACCAAAGAAATATTTCTTTGAACGGTACGTTGCATCCGGTTTATTCGAGTTTATTTGAGTTAAAGAATTATTCTTCGAATTACCAGAATATTTCTTTAATACTATTCGAGGAAGTATTTCTTTGGTTCAATGACACTTTTTTTCCTCAGGGTCCAAATTGTACCGAATTTAATATAAATGTCGGGGATAAAACCAGCAGGAATCTGTCTGAAGAAAAATAGGAACGCTTTTGACGAATTATTAGGGAGTTTAACGTGAAAATGTTCCTCGGCCAATTTCGAGATTCGAATAGGTTCCAAGAATATAACTATTCTCGCTAATTGCAAGATGTGCGGACAACGAGAAAAGGAACCAGTGCTGCTTATCTCTGATTAATTACCCGAGGACGAGCGAACTTATGCCGCGGATTTTCAGCCTCCGAGTCTAGTCATACTTCTTTAATCTTTTTTTTTTTTTCTTTCTATGTACAACGAAGTATGAGATGGACGAGCACCGTAATTAGGAAAGCTAGATGAAAACGACAGTCTTGGATTTTCGATCCGACTTTCTCCTCTTCCTATCCCCGGCACGACTCCTGAGGACGTTTTTTAGTGCCGATTTGACATTTCATCGGTTTAAACGAATCGCTTATGTACGTGTAAATTAATATACTCTCTTTCGCCTCCCCTTCTGACGATCGACACCTACGTTTTGAGAAACCCTCGGGGGAAAACAGAATGTCATGAGCATGTACAAATCTAGTTGTTTGCAAATGGTAGATTCGAAGAGACTCGTGAAAAGCTAACCGAAGAAAATACAAAGAATTAACATGATTTCCATTAAAGTGTGCACAATGGATCTAACTTGATTCCACAATATGTATCAATGTTTGCGACTTGTTATTTGACATACTTTTTTATTGTATGAAAGTGTAAGAAGTATGATTTCATGTACACTCCTCCCTCAATTTACGCGGCTCCTTTTTTTACCCGGTAAATTATAACACAATTTACGCGGTTTTTATTTCCAATGTTTTTTTTTTCTTTGCTTTTGCACTGACAGACTTTATGCAACGCGATTTCCATTCGCGCAAATTCAGGGACAATTGTTTTGATATAGGTAGAAATATTTTAATAAAGATAGAGATTTAAATTCTACGTAAGAAATTTAGAAAAGTTGAATCACGGGAAGATATACTTGGATATATAATATTACTAGCGTTACTAAAAGAACATAATCGAATAAAATGAGCTTAACTTCGTATTTTGATTGCTTCTTTTGATTCCTAAAATTCGAGAGTTCGCAGTCGAATCTATTCTTTAGACAAAACCTCACTGCCAAGATAACGTCTATCGATTTCAGGAAAGGTAAAGAAAGTCAATTAATGACATCAATACATACTCGATACCTTAGATTAGTCTAAGGTGAAAAAGTATAACTATCGATCATCGATAATGGCATTTCCTTTCTACGCTCCAAAAATCAACAGCAAAATAATGGTTATTTTGAAAAAATTTGAAACAATCTTTAAAAATCTCAATCGACTGAAAATCGTGAACGATAACTGTGAAACGATTTAAGGAAGGCGCAATACCCACATATGATAATTAAGATGATTTTCGAATAGATAGTAGCACATAATATTCGTCTATATCTTCAAATGAAATCTACAAGACATCTTAAAAAAATCTGTCGCTCGGGATATTTAACAAAGATTAGAAACAAATACTTAGAAATTATCCGGTGCTACTAGGGCATTTTCTTCGTGTCAATGTCACGCGGATTTGTGATGTGACTAGTTGAAATGATAATCTTAAAAATCATTCGTGGGTAGTTTATCCCACTGTCGAACGTTTACAAAGAAAGCAAAGTCGACTAGCCAACGTTAAGTCGTGTCGCGCGTAATGTAGAAAGGAGTAAACGATCCTAAAGAGGACAAAATACCGCTATTTGATCAATTCTCCATATAAGGTCCGAAACATATAACAGATATCCGCGAAACATCCGCAACGTATTCGGTATATTTCGGTTCGAAACTTTCTGAAATGAACGTTCTCTCACATTTCTGTAAGATTCTTTACACATTAAGTTTAGCCTACAAATTAGCCTAGACATGTTTAACAGTCCTGTATAAGGGTGCTTGCGGATATCTTACGCACACGTAGATCACACACTGTATATATTTATCCTATATAATATCGCCAGCGAATCAGCCCGCGGTATTTTGTCTCTTTTAAATGACACGCACGAGTTATTACGTAACTTACGTAAAGAAATATTATGAGCTACTTATAACGAGCCAGGAGCGACAAGAGAATGCCTCTCTTGAACAGCGGCAAAGATAATAATACGGTGATGGCGACGACGATGCCGATGATCATGATCGTAATAACAATAATAGCAATAATTACAATAATATTAATATTAACGACAATGAGGGTGACAGGATGAGAATAATGACGGTGACGATGATGCCGGTGATTGCGGTAATAATAATAATAACGATGGCAATTATAACAACAATAACAATAACAACAACGAGGTTAGCGTTACGGTATACTTGGAACGAGTTCTCTGTTGCGCGATGCCAGAACACGGTTCCATTCGTCGCACGTTTATCAAGAATGGCACCGATTAACGTTCCACTTTTGTTTTTCAGAAACTGCAAGGGTCTGCCGGACATAGGAACGCAGCTCCTCGAGGAAAGTCTTCTCTTATCCGAGTTCCGAACCAGCCTAAGACCGTTTGCACCCATACCGGCAAAAGCGGAACCGGCGCCGGCGCCGGGCATTGATCATTTTCACCGGTGCCGGCTCTGAAGCATGAGAAGGTATCCGAGAAAGTAATTAATAGTGTACCGACGCCGGTGAGTTTCGACAAGCGTGTGCAAGTTCACATAAAATTGCATTAGAAACGCCGGATTACGCGTGTAAGCTTTCATTCATTTACATTGTATCCGGAGAATTTTTATGGTAATAATGATTTTTTTATGGTAATAATGTAAATAAATGAGTTACATTGTTTTGTGGAAAAGCCGATGCCGGCGTTCTTTCTGGATGCGACATAAATAAATGGGAGCTTGCACACGTAATCCGGCAGTCTCCAGTCCGGCTCAGTTGCCGGTCCGGTCGTCCGGCGTGCCGGAACAGCGACCGGCATGCCGATTCTACTGTAATCATAAGTGAACTTTCACCCGCCCGTTGAACCTCGCCGGCGCCGGTGAGCTGTTCTTTGCTTTCTCGGGTACCTCCCCCATAGATCGGAGCCGGTGCCGGTTCCGGGTTTGCCGGTGCGGAGGCAAGTGGCCTAAAAGACGCGACCATCGAAGACTCGGGACCGTGATAGCAAGGTATGCCGTATGTTTTCAATGTCGAAGAATTTCTAAACGGAGACCAGGATGCGCTGGGTCCGACGCCATCGCCGTCGAATAGGGACGATCCGCAACGGGGTAATCGTCACGAATCGCGCGTAGCCGAAAGTAACCGAAAGGCCCACATGTTCCACATGACGGGTCGTCGCTACGCACGCTCGTCGTCCTTCCTCCCTCGTCAGGGTGGCTCGTCCTTGGCGGATCCTGAGTCGTTATTGCTCGATCGACGTGCCGACGTAATCGGAGGACGCGATACTTAGCCCCGGTTCCAAGCTCAGGGCAGGACTGCCAGAGGTTCGCCGGACGCCGAAGACCATCCACGTGAGGGTTCCTTGGAAGGGGCGCATCCTGGGCTCAGGGGGGTGTTCCGATCCGGTAGGGTGTTCGACCGCACGCGGCCGATCTTCCGGGCCGTCGTGGCGGTCGTCGTCGCCGTCGCCGGTGCACACCGCGAGCGCAATAGCGGTCGTCATTAAAAGCTACTTCGTTGCGTGTTCTGGATTAAGCTCTGAGCTCTCTCGTTTGCTAGACCGATGGCCTCGCCGGCGGGGTGGCGGCGACCCCCTGGGCTGCCATTCGAGGCGCCCTGGCCCCCCGGCCGGCCAGTTCCGAGCACTCTCCGTGGCCAGTCCGCGAACCGTGCCGCTGGGAGTACCCCCGGGGTACTTCCTAGCGGAGTGTAAAAATATGTAAAAAAGTATCCTGCCGAGGATAGCGCACCGGTTTACATTGATTATCATACACCGTCGTAGGCGAGGTCGACCGGTGGCCTGTGGTGGCTCGGGAGGTAAGAGGGCGACGGGGAGCTGCCGGAAGCGGGTCCACCGGCTCCCGGATACCCCGGGTAGTTCGCACTGGGCGCGTGGATGCCCGTGGGCGGCGCCGGATACGCGTCGAAGGAACTCGAGTAAGAACCGTTGTAGGGGTAGGGGTTGGCCATGTGGCCCAGGGACGGGTGCATCCCGCCCATCCCGCTCATCCCGCTCATCCCGCTCATCCCGTAGGTGCGCTGCATCAGACTAGACTCGAGGCTGCCGAAGAGGTACCCGTTGGTCGAGCCCATCGGCACCGGGTAGTGCGGCCCCGGGATGATGTTGGGGTACGAGTTTCCGGGGTGAGCGTGACTCATGCTGGGCGTGTAGTTGCTGGACGCCAGGTTCTCCACGGTGTACGACTTGCTGTGCTGCTGCTGGTGCTGCTGCGTCTCCGCGTGAGGATGATGGCGACCGTTCATTCCGTATATCGAGCCGTAGTTGTCGCTGGGGGAATGGTGGAGCGAGCCCGGGTATATGCCCCCCGCGGGGGGCAGAGGCGGACTGTAGTTGGACATCCCGGTCCCGGAGAATCCGGACAGGTACAACGATTGGTGGGTCTCCATCTTCTCGGTGAGGCCGTCGTCGGAGATCCCCGGATGGTTGTGTTGCAATCTCTGGTTGCCGCCTTCCGCTATGCTGGGTATTTGATCCACTAATGATTCCAGATCGCTCAGGCTCTTGGAAGCGACGTCCTGTCCCGAGTTCCTTTTCATGCCGTACTGCTCGTGGGGATGATGAGGCGACATGGAGGAGTGGGTGGGCGTGTGAGGGTGCGTGTGAGGAGGAGTCTGGTGGGAGTGGTGAGAATGGTCGTCGGTGCCCTGACTCAAGGGGGTCGTGGAGGTCGTTTGATGGGCGTGAGGATTGTGCGCTTCCGAGGTCTGGTCGTGGTACCCCATGTAGCTCGTGTAGCTGGAGTGAGACGGAGTCCCGGGACTCCCGTGATGCATGGACCCGTCGCCGCTGCCCGCGGGATTGTATTGACGATGATCACCGTTTAGGTTTTGCTGGGAAATACTGGTCGGTGGCTCGAAATCCGGATGCTCGACGCTGGGCGAGGTCAACGGCGACGGCTCCAGGTTGTTCTCCGAAGAGATCGCCGTGTTGATCTCGGAGGAGAGATCCGAGTGCGTGAACGAGAGGGACATCGACTTGGGACTTTGGCTGTAATGCTGTAAATGAACGGGACTCTGCTTGGCGCTCATGTTGTACGGGCTGTCGCTCATTCCTTGTCCGAAGAACCCGGAGTCGCCCATGGGTTGCGTATAGGGCGCCATATGTGGGAACGTCTTCGGCGGAGACATCAGCGGGGGAGAGAAACAATTTGGAACGGCGTTACCGTAGCCATCGTTCATGTGAGACATCGTCTGGTGTTGCTGCTGTTGTTGCTGCTGCTGCTGCTGCTGCTGTTGCTCTCTCTCCCTGGCTTCTCTCTCTTGCTGCTTCTGCTGCTGATGTATCTTCTTCGGGCGACCTCGTCGCTTCTTGATGACTTCACCATTTGCGTCCAACTTTTCGGGATCCGGTGGTGGCTGGTCCTCGGGGTTTTTTATCTTTTTCGGTCTGCCGCGTTTCTTTTTCCCTGGAATCGTCCCTGGTTCCTGCTTTATCAATGTACCGTTTGCATCTGCCATACGATTTTCCCCGTCTGGGGTCAATTCGTCGTTAAATATTGGTTTTTTGTCCTCGATCGGGTCCTGGTCTTTCTTCTTTAGCTTCGAGTCGGCGAATATGATGTCCGACTCGTCTAGGTGCGTTATGGTGCCGTTTAGGTAATCTCGGAATTTCTTTAATGCCGCGTAGTATGGGACCTTGTCTGCCGCTCGTGGTAATTGAGCGCAACGGGCGCTACTCGAAGGCATCACCCACATGTACTGTAAACAATAGCAGTTTTTTTAATCGTTCTTAGGATCTTACATCATGTTGGGGAGTACTCACCGTGTTGGTACCGTCGACAAGATTCGGCTGTCTACCGAAGCCAAATTCCTTCTTTCCAGAAAACACCTCGTATATGAGCTTGCCATTGAAAACTGCGATTTTCGGTTTGTACTTCCGTAGCTTCTCCAGTAGTATGTGGCTTCCTGCAGAAAGAAGGCATTTATTATTCCACATGTCGCAAAGATTTAACTCTTAATTAATTGTGTGAGAGTTCAAATATATTTGAGCGGGAAACTAGTTGGGTCGAATGATGAGCGTTTCTTTTACTTGCTTCTATTCCATTCGGTACGTATACTGTCTACGTAATTAATAAGAGGTTAATGAAGATAGATCGACAGCAGGATGGAAACATTAATATTTTTCTACCAATCATAAACAGCAGATATTGAAATATACGACAACCATCCGTTATCCGACATTAGTTACTCTTTGTTAAATACTTAACGGTGCAACAGAGATCGAGTTAACCCCTGATTAAATTTGAATAATGGATTAATTAACCCGAATCAGCAATACTAATCGAGGTTGTTTTAAAGTATTTTATTTATTTACTGTTTATTAGATGAGGTCCAAATTCAAATCCGGCGCCAAATCTGGGCCCTTCGGTTACGTCATCTCTTACATATTTTTCCAATTCTCTTAACGCTGCTGCCATCTTTCGGACGAACCTCGACCGACGCTCTCTTTTACTTTTTCGCGATTCACAGTCCCACCGTTCGAATTTTCAATTTCCTTTTCCCTTCCATAAATAACCACTTATATATATTTTTTTACGAAATTAAGATTTCTTAAAATTCCTTCAAGAGTATCCAGTGTTAGCTCCAGAGATATTTCTGCACGTGTGCCTAAAGCTGTCTCGCTAAAAAGCGTCACGTGACATAGTGTGACCTTTCGGCCCTAACCTGTTCGTCCCTCTTGGTTAGTTCGTCAGTCGATTGCGAAGTCGCAACGTGAGTGCCTCGTCGGCTGGTCCGAATTTGTTCCCGATATTAGGAAGAAAGGTCAGTCAACTTAAAAAGTTCGTCCCTACACGAAGAATCGATCGTTATTAACGAAAGATTCGAATCATCGGTTGGTCTTCCTGAAGTCTTCCTTACGAGACGTTCGCCGGTGAGTAAGACATTCCATTTTCGAATTTCACTTAGCTTTGAGCGTGAAGCTATAAATCTGGTATTTTAAGTAGGACCGTTGCGCGTAATAATTTATTTGTAGAAAGTGTTCATTGGGTTATGTCAATTATGTACGTGAGTACCGGCGAGGAGACATAACCTTTCTTAAACGGAATATCATTGAGTTTGTTTCACTTTTAATCAGTTCCACGTTAACGAACAAGTGTTTGGTCGTATCGATTTAAGTAGGGCAAACAATGGATATGTCGACTCGCGAGATGTATTGTTTTTCATTATTACGTGCAAGGTCGGGAACCTAACCTAGCGCGAGCACGAGATAAACATAAACGTTTTTGCGGATGGAAATTCGTTTGACGACTGTTCGATTGGATTAAATCGATTATCCAAATGGAAAGTTAATCGAGCAATGGCGGTTAGTTCTTTGTCATGTGGAAGCAGGCAATGCTAATTCATACGGAAGAATCTGCAAAATAAAACGCCGGCCGGCTCGGTTTTTCTGTTCGGCCGGTCTAGCAGAAATTCGGTGCCCTGATTGGCCATGGCTCCGCCAATCATGGCCTCCAACAATGGTCTACTGTTCGCGCGCGTATTTTTAAGATCCTCCAAATGAGACGCGGCGCTTTCGCTTATCTTCAAAGAAATGTATTATTCCAAATCATGTATTTCAAACGAAACAGGGTCTAACTAAAATTTTTTTAATACTGCACAGCAGATTTGTATCAGATGACCAATATAATTTAGTAATAAGTGAACGATAAAGTGCGTATCTATTAAGGCACTCTTCAGCTATGCAGCATTAATTCTAAATGCACGTCGCTTTTGATATATGCAATTTGACACTCTGAGATGTTTTCGATAAGGGTACATTCTCGTGTAAACGCGCGAAACAAGTTTTATACGTTATATACGTTATGGTAAAAAAGAAGCACTGAACATAAAATACGAAAACAGGCACATGTGGGATCTAAAATTCAAATCATTGAAAAATTGACGAAAATAGATCGTTAAACAAGAAGTATCGAAAAACGATGACTTTATTTTGAAAAATAAAGTTGACTGAAAAAACTTGCTTGGACCAAAACTCTGAGGAAAAAATCGTTTAAACGCGTACCCTCTTATCAAAATTTCCCGACATAGTCCTCGGATCGTTTATGGTTATAAAACCTTTATCTTTTCGAATTTCTTTCCGAAATATCCACATGATATTCTAGAAATCTAACACTGTTGAGATTTATGAAAAGAAACGAAAAACGATTTTGTTTAAACCTTACACGAGATGTACCTTTAACGGTACGGCCGAGTAATCCGATCGTATGTACGATGACGTAATGGTATAGAGATATAAAAGTGTGATATACACATACCAAAAAGTGAAAATATTGATAAAACTTTTCTCCAAACAGGGTGCACCAAATTATCTAAAACTTTAACAGGTGAGGCTCTGAGAAAGAACGCGTTGCCCATGAAATTTCATTTTTCGGGGGAAAAAAAACCTCTTTTTGGTTCTTGTCCGAGATGAGTACAGCATTTCTTTTCGAAAAAAGGAATTTCATGAGCAGCGCATCATTCCTCAGGGCCTCCATAATCTCCTGTTTAAGTTTCAAGTAATTCGGTGCACCCAGTTTGGAGAAAAGCTTTATAAATATTTGGACTTTTTGTTACGTATATATCACACTTTCATATCACCTTAATGGTCCATCGGGAAAGAAGACATACGGAGGGCCCGCAGGGGTGCAGGGCGATATTAAGATGTAACTTCTGAAATCCCTCCCTCTCGGGGCGAGCCTAATTTCTCCCTAGGGGAGGCGAGCATTAGGGAAGTTGGGGAGTTCTCGAGACTGACCTTCCTTGATCTCCTTTCTCGTGAGATCGGCGCTGCCCTTGGTGGCGCGGGCGACCATGTTCGTGAACCCGATGCCGAGGCGGAGCAACTTGTAGTCGTCGTCCGCGGTCAACGGTTCCGGCGTCAGTCCGCTCAGATGGAGACATTTCCCTGAAAGTTATATGCAATTTGAGAAACGGGGTATCGATCAATGCAGTGTCATTAGGTAGGCAAGAGGAACCTTATCAAGAGAGAAACCCTCAACGCGGTGCGAAGGTATACCGTATGGAGTAGCTACTATCAGTAACCAATAAACAAAGCGAATTTTCTGTGTCCGTGGAAAGTAAGCTTAGCTCATTGGTTGCTGATACCTTTTTCCTGCTGACAGCGAGCCTGTCTGAACTAGGCTTGTATCTTAAGGTGATATGAAAGTGTCATACGTACATACCAAAAAGTCAAAATGTTTATAAAACTCTTCTCCAAATTGGGTGCATCGAATTATTTGAAACTTCATCGCGAGGTTATGTAGGCCCTAAGGAAGAACGCGATGTTCGTGCAATTTCATTTTTCGAAAGAGAAAAAAAAAAGATTTGCATTTATCTCGGACAAGAACCAAACGCAGACATTTACATGGGAAGAATGAAATTTCAGGAGCATCGCGTTCTTCCTTAGGACCTCTATAATCTCGTGATGAAATTTCGAATAATTCGATGAACCTAATTTTTTTCCTTTATAATTATTGCACGGAAACGACATGCAGTATGCTATTTAGTACAATACCCGATATAGTTCGTCACGGCTGTCGGTATAAATACAAACGTCTGCAATGTAGGTATTTAGAGGGACCTTTTTTACCAACGTCGATGAAATTTCTCGACGTGTTTCACTCCACCTTAAGGCTCTTATTTTTCTCCGTGTACGTCGACATTTTTATCGGTTCTTGTATTCATTTCTCAACGAAAATGACTTTGACGAGACGACGGTAAAACTCGGCTAGAGGGCCCTCGAAATCGAGCGATTCGATCAGCTGGGTAAGGTAAACGAGTCGTCGCGCTTTCTTGGGAGAGGTTTCCAGGGCGTGGGGGGCCGCGTTCGGGGTCGGCGTCGAGGAAACAGGAATTTACGACTCCGGAGTAAAGTTTGCGTCGCCGTGCCGTCCGAGTCCGGCGACCTCCGAAGGTCCTCCGACCTTGGAGGAACTTTCCGAACAATGTTCCCTCCGCTCCCCTCCGATGCTCGGTTCCGCCCCTCCCGCCCGGCGGGACGGCGCGACGATCGGGAAAGTTCCCCGAACTATCGAGACCCTGGAGGCGACGGGGTCGCAAAGTCGCGCCGACACGTCGCGCAACGTCGCGTCACGTGGCGTCGTCTCGGGCGACGTCGCCGACCCGGAACTTCGGGCGCGTCCGTCCCTCGGGGCGGCATCGCGCGCGCTGCTTTACCGACCGAGTTTCGTCGGATGTAGACGCCCGTCGTAGTCGGTAAATGCGGCGAAAATTCTGGTGAGATGTCCATCTTCCCTTAGGTGGGACAACGATCGAGAGAGTGTATTAGATCGATATTAAGTTGCGGATTTATCCGTCTCCTAGTGGCATAGAATATTTCCGAAATATTTTCTAGTAATCTTTACTAGATATCTCCGGCGACAGATTTCTTGAGATTTCTCGTGGATTTCATTCGAAGATGTCTAAAATATTTGTTGATAATCTCAACGGCACATTTAGTCCTAATAATTTAGAAACGCGTATCGAAATTAGATTTTTTAATTTATAAACATATAATAAAAATACATTTTGTACCTTGCGATTGTTATCGAACATCTCATTTGGTATCGAATAACACGACAAATGTTTGCAATATTTTCGCTCCGTTATTTCATTATGGGAGGAAAACGTGTGATTTTGATTTTAAATATCTTCAAAACGTTTATAATATTCGGCAGATAATATTTAAAATATGTTTATATTAAAATGAAACGAAACGTTGTGTGTGTCTATATGAAAAATATGAGGAAAACACGTGGAGTTAGTATTATAGAAATATTATAAATATAACATTCTAAAGTAGATGTTTTGTAGATATTTCAAATGTCTCTTAAAAATCAGGTAAAAATCTTCCTTCGTTAGGCGGCGCCACATTCGCTCGAAGGCCACTATTTGAATAAAGCGCGGGCATGTATTTACATACGTACAATTGCAATAAAGTTATATCATCCAAATAAAGAAAGGTAAATATGGACCGGAAGTCCATAATTCTGGACACGGTGCGAGTGCTGGCTTCGATGACCTGAACTTCGGGAACGCCGCGCTCCGTTCCGTTCTACCGGGAGTCAGAGTTCTTCACAACCGATGTCAATTTAATTTCCCGGCGCTTTAAATACGAAGCGCAGAATTCCCGGGTCGTCCGCCATCGCGATCGGGCGGGAAATGCGAAAGTCTCGGGAATAAACTGGGTTAAATATGGTAATAATTTCTTTAAACGAAATACCTAACAGAGCAGAACCGTGGATTAAAGGGAACCACCCCCAAGGCCAAAAACCGAAGAACGAAACAACAACGGATCAAGACCTATACAGAAACGAAAGCATAAACGCAATAATACGTGCTAACAACCCTGCAAAACCCTGGCTTAAAGGGGAACCCACCCAAGGCGGAAAACCCAAACGAAGAAGAAATACAAGGCGCCGAGAGCACCAGGGGTGGGCGACCCTTCATCCTTGGGTCGCGGGCCCCTGGCGACGCTCGGCGTCCTCGTCTCCCGGAGGAGGCGCGACCCCGTCGGCGAGGTCGAGGCCGGCGGTCCGGAGATCCTCGGCGCCCGCCCTCGCGCGCTCCCTGGCGCTCTCTGCCCGATCGATCCGCGGCTCCCTCGTCGGCAGGCCCCCGGACCCTTCGCTCCGCTTTTTCCCGAAGCGCGACCGTGCCGGGCGCGTTTCCCGGCAAAAGCGCCAGGTGGAAATCGATGCGCGACCCGACGGCCGGCGCCGCAGCCCCAGGCCCGGGGGATCGATCCCCTCGCCGTCCGCCGGCATCGCCGGCGTCGCCGGCGACGCTGCCGCGTCGATCCGGGCCTGACCCGAGCGCGACCCGGAGTTTGGGGCCGGATGCCCGCTCCTTGGGTGCAGCGGGCCGCGGTGTAGGGAACGTGCACGGACTGTAAGCCGCTATCGAGCGGATAGGCGTGCGACAACCCCCGCCGGTTCCCTTTTACCCCCCTTTCCGTCCCCCGCGAGAGGGGCCGCAGGGGAGGCTACACGTTTTCCCACACTCGCCCTCCCCCCGCCCCCGCCTCGCCCCCGGCCGCCACTCATTATAGTTACCACCCACCCGTCCTCCCGCTTCGCCCGCAACCCTGCTCGCATCCCTGCCGCCCTGCGTTCCCTCGGTCTTCCCGCGGGTCTCCCGCAGGTCGGCGCTGGGCTGCGACCTGCCCCTCCCCCTCCCGGGTCCGGCCCTTCCTGCCCTCCTAGCTCGTCCTAGCCCTTCCACCCGAGGACCAGCCCTGGATACCGGACCGCGGTTCTGGGCTCTGCCAGCGTTTCGCCGGGAGAACTCCGGGATGTTCCGGGAGGAAATCTTCAGGGCGAGAACCACCCTTCGGGAATCGCGGATCGACGGATAGTCGGTTCTGGGACTCGAGTCTCGAGTTTGTACGATCGACCAAGGACTCGAGTCTCGAGTTCGTACGATCACTTTTGCATGCGAAATTAACCCTGGGACTATTCACGAGGAAATCAGTGAAAATGATTTCCTTCTTTGAGAGCCGATTGCCTTTGATTTCGTATGATAAGCAACAATGCGGTTTTTGGTGTCAAGCGACAGTCGGCCTTAAAATTGTGGCAATTTTTTCGTGATTCCCAACGATTTCCAGGGAATTCTGCATGTGATTTCCAGCTGATTTCATTTTAAGGGAATTAAGAGTCATGATTTCCTGTATGAATCCCCCATCGAAGTTAACAGTCTCGTATAAGACTTTCATTTCGCAAGGATGCGACATTTTTCATACGAATCTATTCGCATGCGAAAAGAAAAACTCGCATGAACTCGAGAATCAGGTCTCTGTATATAGTATATATAGATATATTATATTATACAGTATAAATACGGGGTACGGTCCGGTAATGTGCGGGAGGTGGGTAAATTATATGTATCTTTTTTTTTTAAATATAATTTATTTATATTTGTGGGCTCTTCATGAGCGTATTCATGGACGAGGTAAAATGGATGTAGCTAAATAAAAATAAGGAAACTCGTTATTTAAGTAAGAAGCGACGGATGTAACATCGTGGAGTTTGTTACGTACGTTAAACCCGCAATTCCCTGTATACCCAGAGATCGGTACATCTCGGCGACGCTTTTATCTCTTATTATCTCGGCAGTTTGGCGATCGGTTCCCTTTATGATGCCGCGCCCCGAGAGGGAACTCCCGGAATCCCGTAGCCGAAGTTCCTCGGAAAAGTTCACCCAGTGAAATACTTTCATGGCCCGCAACCTTCGCCTTCGCTCTCGTTCTCAGCTTTTATGGACTTCCTTCTCTCATCTCCAGTTTTATGAACGCCTTTTTGCGCAGAACGATCCGCCCGGAAAAGAAGCTCGACGTCACCGATCGAAAACTGTCCGATTCGGAATTATCGATCTCCCGGGCTCGGATGAACCTCTTCCTCGTTTCGATTGCTTAATTTGTCGACAGAAATTTCGATTTCGGTTCAATGAGGATCTGGGTCTTCGGTTTTTCTTTTCCCGAGGTCATCGGAACGTTTCACTTGAGTCGAAGCTTGAAAAATTTCGAATAGTTCACTTTATACAAACTAGCCCTAAAAAAAAAAATATCTTCGAAATATATTATTCATACATTGAACATTGACGAAAGACGGAGTAAAACTAGTTGGGAAATATATCCGAAATCAGAGCTCGTTGCATTATTGCATTTCATATAAGGTCTTCAGTATGTGAAATTTAATGTTAGAACTTATGTTAAGGGGATGTGAAAGTCGCATGAAATTTTTCTCCGAAGTGGGTGTATCGAGTCCTTTCAAATTTTACAACGTGGATATGAAGTTTATAAGGAAGGTCTTGGTATCCATGAAATTTCCCATTTTTCTTTTTTTACAAAATACGTGAAATGTCTGTAAGCAAATTAAAAAAAAAATTGAAATTTCCTGGGTATCAGGA